CAACGTACTTACTTAAGAACTAACCGGTGTGAGGTGCTCTTGTTACACAAATCGCAATATTTGAATAGGGACACAAAGGAGCGGAAAAAGGTCTCTTTGAAGTTAAACGAAAACTACTTAAATATTCCATCTGTTTCTACGACGGAAAGAATTTCTAAATTAAAAAGACGGATGCAATAAACTCGAGGCCATTAAAGTAGGAAACTTAGATGCGAATTCACAGCTCTGATATAAAAAAACAATACCTATCTTAATGCAGTAGCGCAGCTTAGGAAATAAAAACGGAAAAGCAATGAAAATTTTCTGCTTATCTATGCAAGGTTGGTATGGAAACTTTCGTATGAAAACAAATTAAAGTTATGAGTATAAACTCAGCTGTTAACTACCATGAAAACCAATTTTTCCAGAAAGACCATTAACACTTATATTTACCTAAAAAACCATGTAATAAATAAAAAAGTGCCGCCATGTAGGTGCATAATGAAAGCGAGTAACAAGCAAAATCTATTCTAAAAGCTCTTGTGGTTTTTATACATTTTTTGATGTATTAAAATGAAAGGACTTAAAATGGTCAATTGTGAAAGTCTACGAAGAAATATGTTCCGAATAACACACGCGGGAAAATCAGTAAATTTTCCCGTAACACTTTCACGATTATAGCTGATGAGAGTACTGACCACACTCAAACCAGGATATCTTATCTTTATGCTTGAGATTTGTTGACCAGTCTTCGCCAAACGATCCTCATGTCAAAGAATGCCTGATTATTTTCATGCACTTGGAACGAACAAATGCCACCATGATTTCAAGAGAGATTTTGGAATCTCTCTCTGATCCATCTATTTCTTTGGATCCTAGTAGCATCCGTGGTCAGGCATATGATGGAGCTTTCATTATGTCAAGTAAAAAGGAAAGGGAGAAGTGCAGGCCAAGATAAAAGAGATCAGTCCGTTAGCTCTTTTCACACATTGTTATGCTCACTGCCTTAACCTCTCCATCACAGCATCATGCAAACTGTCAGAAGTGCGAAATTTGATAGATCTGACTAACGAGGCATACCTTTTTTTAAATAACAGCCCAAAGCGACAGCAGCTGTTTGAGTTGACTCTGAAAGAATAACTGCCTGAGAATTCTCACAGCAAGCTTCCAGGTCTATACAAGACACGCTGGGTGGAAAGACACACGTGCCTAGATCTTTTCCTGGAGATATATGAGCTCCTAGTCACCTTTCTAGATGCTGTCATTTCCCCCCACGAGTACCCAAACTTGAAATCGTCTACTGGAAGCTGGAATTGGGACAAAGATACTATCACAAAAGCCCAGGGACTGAAAGCCTGTTTGTTGTTATTCCAGACCGTAGTGGTTTTCATTGTGACCATGAATATTCTTGATGAAGTCAAAGCTCTCGCATCAAAGCTGCAGAAACGGGATCAAGATATTTTTGAAGCTTACATGATGGTTGACGAAGTAATTGGAAATATCAAGTCCGTTTGGAAAAACAGTGACATCGACTTTCAAGTTTTGTACAAACAAATATTAAACCTTGCTGAGAAATTGGGAATTGTTGAAGCTATTCCCAGAAAGACAAACATACAGAGGAATCGCTCAAACATTCCCAGTTGTAGTCCAATTGATCATTACAAAAAATCTGTGCCTATTCCCCTTCTTGATTCCCTGATAATTCAAATGCAATACTGATTTTCTGACGAAGATCGCCACGCCCGTCACTTGCTTTAGCTAGTACCCTCTATCATAGTTAATAACACCTTGGAGCTGTCTGAAGCAACAGAAGTCATGTTGTTCAGGGAGAATGACTTTCCATTTCCCAAATCCCTTGGGAATGAGCTGCAAAGATGGCAAGTCATGTGGCGGTCAGCAGAGAAAGAACTTCCAAGCAATCTTCTATTAGCACTTGGCAGGTGTGACGAGCATACTTTTCCAAACATCCATCGTATTCTTCTCTTCTTCTTCGTCTGCACCCTGCCAATAAGTAGTGCGGAAGCTGAGCGGTCCTTTTCGCTCATGAAACGGATCAAGACGTGCACCAAATCAACGATGTATGAATAGCGCTTTTCAGCTCTCGCTATTATTGCTCTACATTACCCTGAGAGATTCGAGGTAGACGAGATATGCGAGGCCTTTGCAAAAGCTCATCCTGGGAGACTCTTTCAGGCTACGTTGTTTGATTAATAAGGTATGTAGAGAAACGACAAATAACTATTTTTGATACTGCTGTCCCTTTCAATCATGCACTTTTATTTTTGGGTTTCTTGCTGAGAAATAAGATAAACTCCAGATTCAATATCATACCTTCACAACGCCTTTCTTTTTGCAAATGGCGCTTTAGAGGGAAAAATCGGAAACCTTTTTTTGCGCGGGAGGGGGGGGGAGGAGCATGGCTCTGGACCCCTTAGCAGCTCGAGCCAGAGCCACAAGGCCGTCACGCCTTCCACACCATTGGCGTTAAAGGTTACTACAATGGTGTACAACCCCCCCTCCCCTTTGAGGAATTCTTGGATCCTCCCGTGCGGTGACAATGACAGTAACACAAGGATAATGAAAGTGACAGAGGCAGTGACAGTCTCAAAGGCAGTAACAGAGATGGTGACATTGATAGTAACAGACAGTGAAGTAAAGAGAAAGAGTGGCAATAACAGTGAGAATGACAGTGACAGTGTCCATAACAGAAATTGGGGCGTTGGCAAAGATGTGCAGTTGTTCTTACAGGAAAGAGAGTAAATGCTGAAGCAACAGTAACAGTGCAACTGACAGTTGCAAATATAATAGCATTGATAGTGAAATAGAAAGTGAGAAGGATGTTGATAAAAAAAAAAGCAATGAGAGTGAAAGAGAAACTGTAACTGAAATTCAAATAGCAGTAACAGAGACAGTGAAAGTGACAGACACAAACACAATTTTTGGCTATTTTTGGCTCCGTTATTTTTTAAAGTTATTTTTGTTTAATTTATTTTTATTTTTGCAAAGAAGTGGGGGGGCTGAAGCCCTCCCAGCTCCTCCCTCCGCACGGTCCCTGCTCAGCCGAAGTAGTCTTTCAAGTCTTTCACGTGGGCACCACAGTGGAGGGAGGAGGCAGGGGGGGGACTGGACTTTGTTCTCTGGCGTTTGGAATACGAGATAAAATGCAGGTTATTTACAAGGAAATGACACGCGATGAGGTGATGTCCAAGGTAGCCTAAGGCGAATTTGACTCGTAGGAAAAGTCAAAGCACATGAGAGTTGCGTGGAAAATGTGCTAAGGATAACATCAAGTTTCATGTGCATTTTTTTTGTAAGGGAGGATTCAGTCGTCAAATTTGGATTAAGCATTGGAAAATGTCATTTAAACACAAGACATTATGCATGGAGAACTTCCAAAGGAGATGTTAACGGGTAGTCAACTTAGAAAGTATATATGGCTTGATCTTTTTTACCCTCGCCAAAAGAGCCTCCACAGGGGCAAAAACAAGATTATCAATCAAATATGCCTCATGCTAATGCTTTGTGCAAATTCTGCCAGAGTCTGCAAAACTAGCCCTTTCAAAACAACTTAATGTCAGGCCTTTTGCTGATGGTGGGTGCGTTGGATGTGAAGGAACGGTACCCAGACGCCCTTTAACTTTTAAGTAATAGAAAAATTCCTTAAGGTCCACATAAAGGAAATGAGTCATTTCGCTGGATAAATCAGAGCACAGTTGTTTGTTAGTCTTTCTTAGTGTGCGTCAATGATGGGTTGATTCAATTGCAAAACTTAGCGACACCCTAATTCCATGACAGAATTGGCATGAGGGTCAATACCCTGACTCTCTGATTGGTACAAAATACCGTAAATGCTGTGATTTGATTGGTGGGTGTGAGATACATCCCGAATGCAGTGATCTGATTAGTGCGCGATAATACCCTAGTGCAGCATTCTAATTGGTGCAAGATACATACACAAACGGCGCGATCTAAGTAGTGTGAGCAACATAGCACTCAATACGCATACATAAATATTATTATATAAAAAAAATTAACTAAAAAATACAGGAACAGTGGCAGTGACAGAGTTAAATGGTGAAAGTAACAGTGACACTGACCGTGACAGGGAGAAACACGTTGACAGAGAGTGAGAAACATTCTCAGTGACACTGACAATGATAAGGCCAGACTGACACTGAAAGAGAGAGTGACAGTGACACCAACATAGACATTAACACTGATACTGAGACTGAGACTAATACTGACAGTGATGCAGATGTTGACAGGGACTTTGTATAGAGATAGTGACTTTGAGAGTGACATTTACATTGATAGAGACAGAATCAGTGTACGTGGCAGTTACTGAGACAGACATTGACGGTGAAAATTGCAGTGAGAGTTAAAATGACAGTATCAGGGAAATTGAATGTAACAGAAACAACCAAACCTGGTTACACTGTGCTCACAAAAAGAGTGCAGAGAGAAAAGGTGCAGAGAGAGTTAGTGAGAAAAATAGGATCAGACACCAGCACAGTGACCAAGAGAGACTGTGACAGTGAGAGATACAGTAACATTGACAGTGTGCAAGAAAATGACAGTAACTGTTGCAGGAAACGTCAGAGTGACAGTGACAGTGAGAATGACATTATAAGAGACATTCACAGCGATAGTTAAAAAATTAATAAGGATAAAGGAAAGGAAAAACAAGAGAAAACAATCACCTGATGACAAAAGAGTGAATCTGCTAGATATTAAAAACAAATTATAATTGGCAAATAAAAAAATAATAAAATATATAAACAATTGAATGAACAAATGCTTTGGTGTATAAATGAGTGAAATGCATCTTTGAATGGCCACGATAAAAAGAATAAGAAACTGCAGAATTGCACGATAGAGAGCCTTTATTTAAGACCAATGTTTTTGGAATAAATGGTTTCTCGATCACTAGTGAGGAACATGAAATTAACTTGAAATCAAAAGAAAATATGTTAATATAGTGCACAGATGGTCCCATGCCCTTGGGCACAGATAATCCCACTTTTCTGGGCACAGATGGCCGCACTCACTTGAACATAAATGTTTCCATTCTCTTGGGCACAGATGTACCTATAATCATAAATACATATGGTACATGGATCTTGGGCACAGATAGTCCCAGATTAAAATACAGGAAGCCGTACAAAAGTTAGAAGGGAAGATGTGTACCCCTAAGACATAAATAAATGGCGAAACGCACACAAGCACACAACAAATAAACTAAGACTCTATAGTAGATAAAAGTCAAATACTGGAAGCAAATATCAGTCGTAAAAGATGGAAACAGAGAAATCTACATGATAAAATATCTGAGAAGAAAAATTAAACAAGGAAGAGGGAGCGCCTCCAAAGAGAACAAGTAGATATAAAGAGGGGATTCTAGTGTAAGGCAAGTGTCAAGGATATGCAAAGCTCCGGGACAAGCCCGGAACACTTCCATTCTTAACTTTCCCCCGATTCCCGCTACTCTACTCATTTTCAAAAACTATAAGATATTAACTTGTAAATATGATTAATGATCAGATGTCTCCCATGAGCAGGCGTGTTGATCTTATCATCCAGAACTATCCTCTTGTCAATAAATGTGATTACGTGATTTTTTTTAGTTTCATACAACAGCCTAAATCTCATTAGTAGGTCACTCTCTCAAACTCGCGGTTGATGTTAAGCTGAGCATCTGAGAGGATGAAGATGTGAGATTTAACTTTTCTTGAACTCGATGGTTTCCTGTTAATCGCGAGATGAACTTCTTCCTTCCTGTTCATCAATCTCAACCCTGAAACGTGAAGATCGTAGTCACTTAGACTCCTCAGATCGATGAAAAGACCGAAACTATCTCCAGCATAAAAGTCTGTTGCATTAATCGCGCTGTTCTCCTTATCAAATCTTCTGAGAACCTCCTCCCACATTTCTCTTATCTTCATTCCTTGACTAAAACTTACTTGGGATTCCATTCATAACCAACTTTACCTCAGCGATGTTGGAATTGTCTTCTCACTGTCTCCCACTGCTGCTGTGTATGGCTCGTAAAAGAGAAGAAGTCCCCTCAGTGATTTCCTTGGGGCATTTACTGTTTCATCGATTATTATGTCACATCCCTTATCTTTTGAGATTGTTTTCAGATGAGTGATATGCTCGTACATGAATCTATTTCCATTTTTGTGGTTAGACAAGATGTTATCAGCGAGTTCTTGACGGTGAATAACCTCATACTTGAGCTGAATGCTATTCAATTCATTAAAAAGACTTGCTGGGTGAGATCCTTTTACAACACTGTTGACAGGTACAAGCCTGAGCTCGAAGAAAGGCCTATAAGAAAGAGATCTCGTGAGAGAGACTGCATGGTCCTTTATAATCTCATGATCCAGTGGAATCCTAAACTTGTTCCCATAAACATCATTGAGCTTATTCTCCTTGTCAACTCCAGAGGTCTTCTTATCTCCAGATTTGTATCTGATCTTGGAAAGATCTTCCGACTGAATACTCGCCCTCTCACTCTCACTCAAGAAGAGGTCATCATAGAGTTAGAATAGAACATAGCCGTCAGTGTCTTGAACGATTTCTCCTGAGAATTTAACTATCAGTCGATCAACAGGAGCTCTTAATACATTGTTCTCGAAGAACCGTTTTGCTTCACCACTAACTGATAAGTCGAAGATGAGTGCAGGGGATCCCGGCACAAGTACTACATCATCATCAAGCCTTGGAACTGGGACACCAAAGATTTTGACCGAGGAAGCCCTAGTAGGGTTAAATGTTATTCAATGAATCATGCGGTCCGCTTTGAGGGCATTTGACTTCTTTTTCAAAAATTGGGCTGCTTTGTTCACTGACTTCCATTTTAATAGATATTCTATTGCAAATGACTGAATTTAGAGATACTGAACCTCTATTGGATCACATTGACGATGATGATTGCGATGAAGAGGTTGGAGATATAACAAAACTTTTTCAACCTGATTATAATTCAAATGGCTGAACAAAGAACAATGAGCACGGGAGAAGAGAAAGGACCAAAAACTGCTGGAACATCTTTCATCGAGGGCGATATATATAAAACACCTGAAGACTTTGAAATCATAGAAGCTAGTGAAAAACTTAAATTCGAATATCCAGTCAGGAAACGTATCATGCTAAGAGTTGAGGGAGAAAGAGATTATACAGTCTCAGATGCTTTTGGTAATAGAGCCTCAGGTAAATATGAGGTATTTGAAAAAGATGGTACTTTTCAAAAGTATTTCCTCGATCTTTTCAATAAAAGCTTTAGTCCAAAACATGAAGAAATGATTTCCGGACAAGGATAAAAAAAATTAAAGGGACACAGAAATTAAATCAGGAAGATGAGAGGATTGCTGATGATAAAAATGTAGCTTATGAATTAAGAGAACAATCAAGAAAGAATAAGTGAGAAAAGGCAACGGATTAATGTTCTTGAGAATGAGAGAAAAACTTGAAGAAGGCACTCCACTAAGAGAGAGAGAGAGAGGATATCAGGATATGATACTTCGGGATCCATTAAGAGAGACACTACATTCACACAAAACACGAACAATAGATGGAAAGGTGTTGCATTTTTTGGAATATTTGTTGGTTATTCAAGCAAACTTTGTGTGAGCGTCTCTTCACTTTCCAATATAGTCAAGAGATGACCCTCAAAGAGGGAAAGAGATCAACCAATTAGGTGATGAGGCTTCAAGAAGTTTTGTTGGCTTTGAATAATGACGTGACCAGGTCACAAGGGAAATGACAAAGCATTATGTGAGGATAAGAAAAAGGAATGTGAACGTACACAGAGATCGGGGAATTGTCGAGCGATTAGATTGAACTTTGTGTGAGCGTCTCTTCGCTTCCCAATGTAGTCAAGAGACGAACTTCAAAGAGAAAGAGATCAACCGTGGAGGTGAAGAGGCTTCAAGAAGTTATGTTGATTATTATGAGGCTTCAGAAAGTTTTTTCGGCTTTGAATAGTGAAGTGACTAGGTCACAAGAGAAATGACCAAGCATGATGTGAGGATAAGAAAAGGGAATGTGAAGGTACACAGAGATTAGAGAATTGTCGAGCGACTCAATTGAACTTTGTGTGAGGGTCTCCTCACTTTCCAATTTAGTCAAGAGATGAACTTCAAAGAGGGAAAGAGATCAACCGTAGAGGTGAAGAGGCTTTAAGAAGTTTTGTTGGCTTTGAACAGTGAATTGACCAGGTTGATAGGAAGAAACCTATCGATGCAATCAAAGACAAGTCGCCGGACGCATAGAGTTCAACCACTTATTCAAGACCAGTTGGCCTGAAGGAACAGTGACTCGGCTTCTCAAAGAACGTGAGATATCACTATGCTGCTGGTGAGCTGGAAGGTGGCCAGAGGCGAGCCACAGATCCAATCTGGTCTCTGAAGGTCTTCAATATCGAAAAATCATTTGTGAATAAGGAAGAGCCTGTTCTCTACTACCTGAAGGATGAATCAAAGCGTGGTTTCGTCATAGAGGCGCTTCAGATTTTTCCTCCTGGAACTGGGTTGCCTTCTAAAAGAATTCGTTGATTTGAAAAAAACTTATTTAAAATGAGTTTCTCAAGAGACCCAAGCAATCCTGATGAATCAATTAAAAAAACTGATAAAGATATCAACAAATAAAAAGATCGTCAATCTTGTCAATCCAAATGACCACCAAGACGCAACAACCAGGAAGTATGTCGATAAAAAGAGACAGAAACGATTTATTTATTCTCTTTTTTGTCAAAATATGCTTCCAGAAACCTCTTTATTGAGACATTCATCAAAGAAAAAAGCAACATGCTGGTATCACTTTTTCTTTTTAGATGGAAATAGGCATTTCAATTTTCCTTTTATCAATGATCCTCATATCTTAAGTGTCTTTAGTGTTATCAAGGTATATAGGTATATAAGAGAAGTTTAAGTAGAACAACGATTCATACAAGAAACTGCATGATTGGAAATGAATGGATTCGAGGATATTGTCCTTCTCTTTAAAAAGATGATGTAATCAGTGGAATCAGACCAAAAATAATTGGGGGTGTTCCATTCATTATTGTTGGAGAAACACAGAACCATGCAGAGTACAAAATAAAGATTTGGAATTTGTTTATATTGACGCTAAACCTTTGGCAGGATTCAAAACAAAAGCAAACTCGAAAAATTTCAGATGCCACTGGAATGGAATATTGGGAGATTCTGCAATGAATACTTTTTTCTGGTGTAACGCAAAAAGAATTTGTCAACTCTACTGCGAGATGATTTGATAATGATGAACGTTATGTACGGGGAAATTTTGAAAAAACAAAATGGAGAATGGAGATCGTTTTCATGAAGGACTTAACTGAGAACTGTCGTTCTTTTCTCTTTAACAAAGGCACAATTTTGACAGCAGAACAAATCAAGGCACACCACGACTTCTTCCTAAGAAGGTACAACATTGATGCCAATCCTGTTGTATGAAACCATGAAGCATGCTTGCACGTGCAAAGACTTTGAACATTACAAGTGACGTTCTTAAATTCAGACGTGATGATGCGTGATGAAGCAAAGGCATAAAAGCTTCACACAAACAATTAACACCCCGATCGTTCAAGAGGAACACCCTCATAAGAACTCACGAGTGAGACATTGTAAATATTATTGGCCTGTGAAAGCTTGAGGGTCTAGGAATGGCGGGAAGAAGCCTATATCTCTCTGGTCGATTTTCACGAACGATCTGTGATAATGCAGTCTCCCTCAGCTAAAATCACCATTCGCGTACCGCAGGGTAGCATTCTTGGCCCGCTGTTACTCTCGGTGTTTAAAAATGGCATCCAACTTGTACTTAAACACTCCAGGGTCACTATGTCTGCTGATGACATGGCGTTTTATTGTCCCAAAAATTCGCCAATTGATATGCAATCAAAGCTTAATGTGGACTTACCAGCGATCACATCTTGGCTATATGACAACAAGCTGACACCAACTGTTACAAAATCGAAGCTCATGGTCAGTTCAATAATATAGCTCATGTGGCTAGTAATGATCGACTAGAGAAAATTACTAAATTCCGTGGCCATAAATCAATACCTAACGTGGCATGATCATATTGATCAATTGGAGACATGGGGTCTTAAAAGAGAATTAAACGTCTACCTATTTGCGCAAGGAAGATTTTTGTCACGACGATGGTCATCCCCCATACTTTTATCTGAAAGTATCGTATAGAGCGACAAAAACGACAAAGTTTTCGTAGATTCTATTCAAGTTCTCCAAAATAAAGCAGCCAAGTTGGTCCTGTAGAGGGCTCCAAATTGTTCTTCAGCTTAAGCACTTTTAAATCTGAACTAGATGAATCAACCAGAAGATAACTGCCATCTTTGTATGTATAACTTAATAAATAATAACGAAAGAAACAACATGCTAATCCGTGGTTCTGATTATCATAGTCATAACACCCGCTCAAAGGACGCTAATCAAGTAGTAACTGGGGTTTGCTCAGATTAGTGACAAGACGATCTAAGATCGTAAGTCGGGCTACAGGTAGACTCGCTGTTACAAGTGTTGACCATTCACGGTGCGTAGTGGTTCTAAAAGAAATACAGAGATACCATGGTCCTGGTTTGTGGGCGTGGCGTAAAATGTTTTCACCCCTGAGAGGCACCAATCCTACAACAACACACTGTCACATATTTTTGGTGCAATACCCTGACAAGTATCACGGAGGCTGCTGCTGTTGTGGACCTTTTGAGGCTGAACAGCCCAAGAGGTACTAAACCCGCCCTTTTTAACCTCTAAAAGCTATGATGAGCACCTCAGTCCCTTTCTAACAAAGCGTAGTCAGAACGGGTTAATTTTTCGGTGTTTGTTCATGCGTGAAATATTCAACTTTGTCTAGACAAACTGTCGCGCTTCATCATTTACAGTTATGGGAAATCCGTACTGTCGAGCACCGACTTTAATTTGAACGCGTGAGAAGGCTATACAAACGACATTAAACAGGATTTGGCGGAAAGTAAATCTTGATTAAAAGTGGTATGTACGTGCAGAAACATAAACACGGTAAATTGACAGTATGGACACAAGCTTGCATGTTTCACGCTTGAGCAAATACGTAAAAGCTGAATACTGTAATGTAAACAAAAATACTCCCTGTAGCACGTTTCAAATTTCGAAACTTTTTACTTGTTTACGTTTCCAGGAAGCTTTTAAAACGGCAGCCGGCTGTTATTTTGAACCCTGAAGATAATACCGGAAAACGATGTAGATCAGACTATTCAATCATGATTGCTTACAGGGCTGATAACTGACTTATCTTTCAGGCTGATAAAAGAAATGATAACCGAGTGACACTGCCATCTGCCAAAAAAATTGTTAAGATTCCCGCTTTCAAAGATTCCCCATTTTGAAGATTCCCGCTTTTAGAGATTCCCCGTTTTAAAGATTCCCGCTTTTTAAGATTTTCCGTTTTAGAGATTCCCGCTTTTAAAGATTCCTCGTTTTAAAGATTCCCGCTTTTGAAGATTCCCGCTTTTATAGATTCTAGTGAGACCTTCGCTAAATCATTTGATTCTCTCGCTATTTTGAGTTCGCGGAACGACCCGTTTCGAATATACGCCATTACACAAGCCATCTTTTAGAGTGGGTCTGCTGCGAACGGTGTGTGGGTCTGTATGCTTGAGCATAGAAAAGATGACACCATTCGTTAAGGGATTCGACAAATCCTCCATGTTTCGACATGGTGGAAAGAAAGTTGCGCCCCTACTACGTGTCTGTGGTATCCTCCATTGCACGTAACTGAGTTTCGTGGAGAAACTCGAGGGTAAACCTATAGTCGGTCGCCCGACTAAATAGTGTAACGATATTTAGTTGGTTGCGTCAGAGCTTTGTATTCCCTTACTTGGCAATAAAGTTTAGTTGGTAAAAAGCACATAGTGACTGCTGTCTTACATCAAATAGTGCTTTACCTGATTGGAATGCTCTGCCTTTTGCAGTTAAAATGTTTACCTCTTCGGTTTTAAATTGTCATTACTTACAGGTTTAACTTTTTAAGTAATTTTCCATTTTATTCCTATTTTTGATAGTACTTTAAGTTCTCTTCACCTATTTCCTCTTATCATAACTGTTATATAAAAAAGTTTTGTTACATCATTGAGTTGATATGCGCATGTTCAACTAGAAAGCATAAACAAACGAAGTCGTGTTTCACTGTTCGTGCATTCGTCATTATTACTTGTATACAACATTACCATTTTAGTTCCTTTAGCTGAGTTTTGTCATTTAAGTCTTTCTGGGACTGACTATAACCAGTTTTAATTTTTTTTATTTTATCTGAGTTAGTGAGGACCTCCCTAAAAAACCAAGTTATCTGACAGAAGCTTCCTCTATAAACACTCGAAAATTCAGCTTTAGAAACTCCTAACAGTGGCCCATTTACATCATCAACTCAGGTGATAGACCCAAGTTATCCTGTATATATGGATACCCATTTCAAAGGCCGGCGTCACCCGTGCTCAAGCCAGCCTAACCGATGAAAATGCAGCGGGCCTAACGTCAAGGCTAGTGCCCACATGCAGCCCAGACACCAACTTATCCAAGGGTGGGTTGCAAATGGCCCAGTGTGGAAAGCTCAGGAGGGTGAGGAGGGTAGGAATTTGACTAATCAGTCATGGGTTGGGGAAATTTTCAATTTTGAAAACTTTATTCTTGGATATTGACTCTAAGTTTTCTGTTTTTGTTTGATTTGTAGAATACACATACACCCGCTTTAAAAACGTTGCAACATTAGAAATACATCATACATATACAATATATATATATGTATATGTATATATATGTGTATATATAGAGATTTTGTTAAACAAGGAGTGTTTGCACTGTTAGCAGTTTACTTTTGTTTCTTTGTAAACACATGCATCTATCGGTGTGCATAGATATATATCTGCATATTATATATACATAGTATATATACGCTATACATATATATATGTAGCACATGTATATGTATATATACATAGTACATATGTATATAACAAACATGTTGAGACCCCTGAGGAAGGAAAATGCCAAAACATGTTGGGTCTTGAATAAAGCATTGAAAACAGAAGCCTATTCTCTGTTGTGCAAATTATACATATATGAATAAAAGCATGGTACCATGCCTTGGTTGATATATGTATTTAACAAAAAAATATAGACTATATACAAAGAGACTATTTTCATCCCTGTACTTTCATCCAAAATAGTCTCTTTTATTTCCCTATCTCAATATCTAGCATGCTCTACTTCTACGTACCGAACACTGTATTATGGAGAAATTGAAACATGTATATGTATATATATTTGAGTGTCTACAAATAAGCAAAAATAAACTGCTGAACACTTCTTTAACCTTAGTTCAACCAAAGAAATACTTTACTTTCAACTTATAGATAAATCGTGTCGCTCTCTTCTTTTATTTGCTAACAGTAGCATATAGCGTTACGTTTAAGAGCAAATCTATTTGTATATGTATCTCTTATTTATTTAAGAACACTTCCATTACCCCTAAATGAATGAGGATGGCAGAAAACCATCAAATCTCGTCACTCCTGAATAACTCATTACTTGCTCATTCATTATTAAAACTTATCAAATTAAGGTTAAAATAGAATCTCCCACCTTATCGAAAAAAGAACATCCTTGGACAATTCAATGATTGTATCAACCTCAAAAGAAACTTTGTAATAGCAGTATCAGGGGCTTCAACCATAAGTGATAAGCAGGACATGTTAATTTGGGATGGGAAAAACTGGCTCTGTCACACCACAAACAAGAAAAAGTTGTGTGAGTTACACATTTTGTAAGTTGTTATTCCTGTGAAAGGCTTCAGCTTCCTGCACAGCTCTTTCCAATTCTTTCTTCTTTTCATCAAATGGATGACCATTGCCGCCCATCACAATAATGGGCTGTGTGCGATACGGTTGTATTTTCTCGACATTGAGCAGGTGAAAGATAATACGGTCCACTTCCTTTGGCAGCTTGTGACTCCAGCGAGAAGAAAGGAATTCTGGAATATTTTTCTTCGTTCCACTATAGGTAAAGAACGCGGGAATGAATCTGTGAACATCAGGATTCTGAGAAATCTGTCCTCGTATGAGATTTAATTGGCATCTGATGTTCAAGGCTAGAAAAATAAAAGTATCGATTAGAGTAGTTAAAACAATGTGTTCATACTGAAAGTGCATACATAGCAAATACTAGAAGTTGGTTTCGGTTTTCTTCCATAATATGTTTTGTCCTTCTTTACATTGCTCTCAGTGCCGTTGTGTTTTCATCCATTTTGGTGAACGTAAAAAAATTAATGGCAAAAAGGCAGCCATAAAGTTCTGCCCTCTGCATGACTTTGTTGGACAACAATGCACACCTTATGAGATTTATGTATTGAGAGAGGGAAATTAACTTTAGAGGCAAACACACCAAAAACAGAAGCATCCTAAACTTCAGGGCTAGGAGAATTTTAAATAAACTTTAGGGCCTTGAAAATGGTGTGATACTACCTTACATCTGTTATACAATGGGGCAGATGAAGGGAATCGGTACTTTAAATGTTACTTGTTACAGTAAAGTAAAAACGTTGTTGAAACTATCAGGAAGATGGTGGTGTTTAGTAAAGATACAGACTTCTACCTATTTGGAGTTTGATGTTTGTCAAAGTTTAGAATTTTTAAGTTCCTACAAATAAGATTGGTGTGTACATCAAAATTACTCTTTGCAATAAATCTAATAGTCTTCTAGAGTGTAATTAAACATTTGAGATTAGATTGATAAATTTAGTCCCTAACAATTGCACAACAACCTACATAGGTATTAAGTTAGCTGTAAAGAGAGTATAAATAATGATTTCGTGCAAAGTTAGTGGCTTGAATTGCAGATAATTTCAATTGATTTTGACGTCTTTTCCGTAACATGCTATACTTGAGGTTACCAAGACAAGTGTTTCTCTGGTATCACTCTTAAAAACAGAACTTTACAAGCAGGATCAAATTGAATTTCAAAGATTGAGAAATGCAGATCAAGGTTTAGCTGTCTGGTTCTGTTTTATTTTGAACAAAATAAATTTTGATTTTCATGGTTAGTGAATTTCAAAATCTTTTGATGTCATGTGTATTATTAGATGAGGAAGCAAGTCAGTCTGAAACTCTCGCTCTGTCTGCCCGTGACTCCTCAGAAACCTCACAAAGTAAAACTGAAAACACCTTGACATTTTCTAGAGTTCTTTCAGTTGACATTTCCCATTACAATGCAAGTTTTGTCAACAACAGTTAATGCTGTTCTATAAAATACCACATTACATTTGTACACGTTAAAAACACAGCGATATGTCCATCCAGAGGACTTTTTCATAAGGTGTTGATATGATGTGCATTGATCTCTGACGTACTCCAAATTTGATGCATTTTAATGAAGAAATATATGCACTTTACATTAGTGACTGATCTACAAGAAAAGCAACTATTAATTGCTGTTGAGCAACACCATTAGCTCCATAAAACTCTAGCTCAGCTATGATCGTAATTAACGGTGTCAAAGGCTCTAGGTAAGTCAGGAAACAGACCAAAAGAACATTTCTTTGATCAATTGCGCCTGACATTGCACAGGCAGTTGAATTGTATTTGTTAAGCCATATTAATTACAAGAAAGCATGATGAGACAGAAACTAGTCCATAACTGGTAAATAAAGAGAGAAGTTGCTGGTTTTTAAAAATGATTGACTTTTTTCTATCTTCAAAAAAACCAAGGCGAACACAATATGCTTGCCAATTGTGAGTAAGTTGTCTCTGAAGATCTGGTAGAAGGCTGTGGCAGATGAAGTACTTGTGAGAACTATTTGAGTTCACCAAAGGCAAAAGATTTCCCATATTTCTCTCTCTTTCCACATCGCGAAGGTGTTCTCGGAATCGGTCACCCAGTCGTCTTCCTGTTTCGCCGATGTATAACTTATTGGACGCTCACGATGCAAAACTTGTCCTTTCATTCATAACGTAGAGAAAATATCGGGACCCAAAAGATCCATTAAGATCATTGATCACTTTACGTGTACCTCCGCCAATGTTATTTACTGTATAACTTGCACTTATTGCAATAAGTTATACATCGGCGAAACAGGAAGACGACTGGGTGACTGATTCCAAGAACACCTTCGCGATGTGGAAAGAAATGACAAGGACGCATCCAAACCAGTCGCTAGACACTTTAATCTTCCTTATCATTCTAAACAGCATATGGCAGTTTGCGGCCTTTCCTTACATCTAGGCAGTTCGGAAAGCCGTAAAACACTAGAACGAAAATTTATATTCCAAATCGGCACCCTTAATCCCCACGGAATCAACGAGCGCTTTTCATTCAACTAATTTATTCCTGTTTTCTCGTCACCACATTCCCACCAATGGCGTAGCTCCACTTTCTACATATAAATCCACACACAACCCACAATTCCTCTAATCGCTCTGACGAAGGGCTAACGCTCGAAACGTCAGCTTTTTTACCCTCTACGGTGGCTAATTTACGTTTTCAACCCAGTTGTTAACACTAAATTACCTGCTTAACTTCAACTTGACTATCTTGAATTTCCAAAATGCATGCAAGTTTTGTATTTTTTGATGTGATATATATAGTACTAAGAAACTGAGACAATGTTAGCCATGACCAATGCAAAAATGACAAGCTACAGGATTCTCATCTTTAAAATATCAAATTGTATCCTGTTGGGAAATAACAGGCTGCACAGCCATTAAATCACTAATAGACCTGACTTCATAGAGAAAAATAAAGGCGCTGCTGCTGCTTTTAGCTATATGTAGAGAATTTCGTCAACAAAATATGAGAACAAAAACATTTTTCACTCCATGATGCACGTAGTGAGGTTTATCAGAGTATATTTGGTTGTATTGTTTACACAAAAATGGCATCTTCCTGATGGTGAAAATCCACTCTCAAGAATGCAAGAGAGAAAGAATGCAGTTCTACTTACGATCATCTCCTTCTTCCAAACTGCTGTGACATCTGACTGACATTTTGTGCGAGGCAAGAACCACCACACAATGCGAATTCTTCACTTGGTCTTCATACCAGCGAGGAACATTGGGTGCTATATCCAAGGTATTCCACATATCTATACTAGCCTCTATCAGCTCCGTAGAATTCAACACAGCACCAAAACAATGAACTACATGATTACACTTCTCGCAGCATCTGGTGTACATGATAAAAACTCGTTTCTTGTCTGAAAACAAAAGAATTATAAAGAGGTGATGCTACAAGGTGTTAATTCTGATGCTATAGGAATTCCTTTCTTTTCAATGGACACCCAGGAGACCTTTGCTAGTGTGGTTAAATACAGGATGACAGTATAATAAACCTTAAAGTAAACTGTGCAGTGCTAACAAGCTTAACTTTATGTCTGTGTTAGGGTCAAAATTAAGGTCTATTGAGGGCGTTGGCTTAATATAGGCTTCACTGTATTTCATAGTATGAGTATACTTACATAATATAGTTGCATGTTATCAGAAACTGACAGTGTCAATTGTCAATCCAAATACACATCATTACCCTCAAAATAAATTCATTTCATTTTAAACTTATGGCATACAACATACCTGACTCAAGCAAAGGATCATTTAGATGAGGCCTTGGTAGAGGGTGATCTGGAAGTCTGATACGTACTGCAAAAGAAGAGGTCAGAACTCTTAGAGGAAAGGCAGGTTTGCCATAAAGCAAACAAGGAATTTGATGACATATGATAGTTAATATTCTTCACACCACATAGAATGAAATGAAGTTTGCTTTGAAATTCATACCTTGCCAAAAAAATATTCTGTACATCACCAGTAAGGAACAAATAAAAAGTCCAAGGAAAGCACCCACAACAGCTATCAAGAGTTTTTTAGTAGAATCTGATTGCCCTCCAGGTAAAACTATAAGAAAATAAAGAGTCATTCAAATATTCATTAATGCAGACACTTCATTATTAAAGTTGGCAAAGTGGAGCAAATTTATGAGACAAATTTTGTCTTTACACTGTGGAGGTGGTTGAATTTTGTGGATTGTGTATGCCTACCCATAACCAGCCATTTGGAGGGGGGCTTTGTGCAGGCTAGATGTTTAAAAGCCAAGACATCTTGGCACAAAAGCGAGGCTACTGACCCATGATACCCAGGCTGGTGGCCTATCATTAATGTGTTCCACTGTGTCTCAATGGCTCTTGAGAGAATATAAGGTATCATTTCAAAAGTTTCCATCAGAACCAAAACGGTATTCTGAATGGGTTGTCAAGATTCCCTGCAACTCAAGAGGCAATTTTAATTGTTGTTTACCATAATATAATGTAAGCTTTATCAGAAAATGGCCACCACTTTACTTTTTATTTGAACTGTTGTCAAGAGTTCCTCATCAAATATGGCCTTGATTTTTGTTTAAGGCCAAATAAATGTACTCAGCTAGTATGTAACAATAAGTAACTTGTTTATTATATTTATTGCCTGTATCACTAGCTTAATCCTTTAACAAACAGTTATTCCTCATACTTAAAGGATAGAGACAAAAGAACTTCAGCATATAGAAAGATTTTCTGCTCTCTGCTGTTCTTTGCATGTTTATCTTCCCATATATAAGGATATATCAGTAGGCTAATGTAACAGATCAAAATTCTGGAGAACTTGACCCCTTGATAATTTATTTTTTGTTAAAGAACGTTTTTCTTCATAACTTGTGCGTTTAAGATTTAAATTTAGTTTTTACCACAAAAATGAAAAAGGCTTGAAACATGGGCCTCGGGAAACTGAAACAATTTTTCACTGAAAATCTTCAATAAAGTTGTTTGGTTAAAAGCAGATGCAAGGGGGTTAAACAGGCTACTTTTAACTCCTGACAGAGCATTTTTCTTTCAAAAATTTAACCCACACTTTCTCAAGTGAATCAGGTGCTACTCTAGCTGTTCTTGGCTGATGCCATTCCTGCACTCACAAATTTTTAGGAGCATCTCAAGAGCTCATGACCAATGATCAGCAGTTGAAGTTTCAGACATTTCGTTGTTATGTACTGTGTTACATCATGTCATGCGTTTTAGCCTCACTTTTGTGCCAAGATAGCTGCTATGTGAGAAGAATCCATTGTGCAGTCAGATAAGTGGTCCTGAAGCTTTTTTTTCTTTTTTTCGGTGACAGAAAGAAACATTTCCACCACCTGATCAGAATTCCAATGCAGTCTCTCTGAAAGCAGTCTGGTGCATTTCAGGTTTACAAAATCACTTTCTTTCAAACTTTGCCCATGAATCTGTCCTAGTCTAAAGGTAATTGAAACTACCTTGGTTTTCAAAACTCTTTCAAAATAATTTTTTAGCGTGAAAATTGCTTCAGCCCTCATGGCTCATTTCTAACAGAGCCAATTATCAAAAATAACTGTGACATGAAAACAAAAGAAAAATGTGGATATTGATGGCTGTCTTCATTCACTTGAGACCCACGATACCTAGTGTGAGATCTGTAACTGTGTGATTTCTAACTTCTCCTTGAGATAAGTTCTATATCCCTTTAAGGTGGATATTTGATGTTTCTCTGTGAAACTGATTCTTAATTCTCCCAATGCTTAGGTTAATATTTGTATCAGAGTACTTTTAGTCTTGGGGCTACTGAATGTATATCAGACTCACGAAATAATTTGTGAGTTTTTGGGTAATAAATATTGTGCACATATAGACTTCACTTGTGGTGAAAATCCTCAATACAGTCACATTGATACAATTAACAATACTTCTGCAAACCTTGTGGTGGTGCTGTGGGTAGTGGGATTAACACAGTCGTTCTTACATATTTTGTGTATGTCTGGTTGATCTTGCCCCTTAACTGAAAATGAATAGCATAAATGAATATGTTGACTCACTACCCTTATGCTGTCATAGGTGTAAAATAGATGAACTTTGACTATATTCTTCACTTGACAAATAGATGAATACATGCGAAACTTACATAAGGGTTTTGTGACCACTGGTAATTACAAGTGAGAAGTAAACAATGTGGAAAATATTTGACATCACAACAAAGCTTACACATATGTAAACATTAGATGTAAAAAGCTAAATAAAGAAATAAGCAAAAACTCCAATTCAATGACTGTATAAACATACTTAAGTGACGCTCTCGCTAAGAGCGGTCCTCTCGACTTTCCGTCGGAAAAAAGTTTTATTTTATTTTTTGCCCATGAAAAGGGTTTAGGACACATGTTTCAAAAGTAGCTAAGTTGTTCTCCAATTCTCTTTTTTTGCGTTGCCACAATACAAAAATGACTTTTGGCCAGTCCACCCCTGTGGAAAGCGATCGAAAGTGTAAATTTCAAAGATTTTGTCCAGCGCACAGTGACTGCAACAATGTAGCTCACGGAATTCTATCTCGCTACAAGTTGCAAGATGTATTCAGTTAGTTCACAGACAAAATGTGGAAACTTCAGTTGAAAAATTTTTCATATCAACGTGATCAGAGGAGACCCTTCTCTTCGACCTTAATTTGCGTATCAAAAATTCACTACTTTGTACGAAAGAATTCTAAAAATGCGGGCGTTAATCGGGCTGAAAAAGCATATCAGTGCATAGTCTATACACCAATGAGGTCACGGATTGCCTCAACCCTGCAGGTATATCTCTAGCTTCCATCCACCAACATATTAGAAACAACGCAAATCCATGTGTTTACTCATTGCGCTCGTGTCAAAGATCATTTGCATGATTCTGAAAATTGACCAAGATCTCCTTTTGAGCGTTCAAAGTTCGTTCGTTCATCTTCTACATTGAGGATTGTCCTAAAACGTTGCGTAAACGTGATCGGTCGTACCTGAATACATCTTGTAACTTGTAGCAAGATAGAAAGTCCTTGACCTACATTGTTGCAGTCGCTGCGCGCTAGACAAAATCTTTGAAATTTACACTTTCGATCGCTGTCCACAAGGGTGGTCTGGCCAAAAGTCATTTTTGGATTGTGGCAACGCAAAAAAAGAAAATTGGAGATCAACTTAACTATTTTTGAAACATGTGTCCTAAACCCTTTTCATGGGCAAAAAATGCAAGAAAACTTTTTTCCGACGGGAAGTCGAGAGGACCGCTCTTAGTGAGAGCGGCACTTAAAAGAAATACAGGGCAATTATAAACAAATATTGTAGCATAATAATCTGAAAAAATCCTATGGATAAGGAGTTTTCTATCCCGCTTTATTACCAGAGTTACTAAACTCTACCCATTATGGAACACGAAGTTATCAAAGTTTACCCTTTGTTATGCTGTTCTCTCTTGAAACTATATCGTTGTTCTCGAATTTACCCTAAATTGCCTAGATTTGTAATTGCTTTACCATTTACCTTAATGGAGTAGTTAAACCTCATGCAAATGTCTTTTTTAAGTTGAATGATATATCCATAGCCTTCCTGCAATGAATATACATATATATAGATATCAGGAGGTAGTTTTGCATTCCTCAACACCAGGTACTTGAAACAAGAAAGGGGGTAGGTTTCCAAAGAAACTGTGGTGCTGCGTCGGTGGGAGAATATAGCAGGTAATTTAGTGTTAACAAGAGTTAGAGTTGAAAACGGAAATTGGCCACCATAAAGGCTAAAAAAGCTGACGTTTCGAGCGTTAGCCCTTCGTCCATCACTCTGACAAAGGGCTATAACGCTCGAAACATCAGCTTTTTTATCCTTTACGCTGGCCAATTTACATTTTCAACTCAGTTGTTAACACTAAATTACTTCTAACAATACATTGTTACAGTTATAGTATTGACTGCTGCCTCTTATAGAAAAAAATAATTATGCAACTTAAACTTATAAGAATTGAGAGCTAAACTGATAGTTTTCTGCAACTTATTGTTGCAAAACTGCCTATAAGGCTGAAATATTGTCAGTATATATTTGCAGGTGATTATCATTAAAGTTGTTAGTTTATCAGACAGATGTAGAAACCTTGATTGATGGAGGATTGCGTCATATCCTATTATTATCTTTCCACAGGAGGTGAAATACCATAACATAATCATTTCAAAATGGTCACCATTAGTCTCTTTCAAAACCGTTGCTTAAGCTTATTGAGCAATGTTGGGGTGGGCAGGTGAGGGGGGGGGGTAAGAATATGTTGCTATTCAAGACCAAAAAGAGTTGCATTTGCATATTTTTTTCTGAAAATTCAACAGAGGTAAAATGATCATCTTGTTATCTAGGTCTTTTGTCTTGATGCTTCTTCTGTGGCTGCAAATCTTAATATTCTTTTCATTTGTTATCGCAGCCACTTCACAACTGACAAGTGTACCAACATTTATACTAAGCTCACGAGTGGGTGTGCATCATTGTAACATATGATAAATCATAGGGCTTTGCATGGGAATTTCAGCTATCATAAAAAAAGGTCCAAAACAGCTTTGGTTATGTGCCTATTCTCTACCTCTGTTCCTCTACCTCTAGTGAATCACTACTTCTGTTCATTAATAATATAAATAAAAAAGTGTTTATCAAACCAAGAGAAGGGGACAGAGAGCAACAATCAGGGCATCAGCCAGGATACTTTCCAATAGTTTGTCTTACATGTCATGCAACATTCTTGGAGGGTGGTGTGGCTACAACAAGATGGCCGGCTTTGCTTAATCAAAAGGTTGTTTGGCTACACCAGTCATGCATTGGTTTGCTTTGCATGTTGCATTCGTTTTCCCAAAGAAAAAGAGAGAGAGAGAGAGAGAGAGAGAGAGAGAGAGAGAGACTATCTTACTTTAAATAACTAAACTTGAAATATCTCAAGACCCTGCAAGGGAACCTCTCTCTTTGTCCAATAATCCCTCCTGATAAGACTTGGAATCTTAAAATGATACTGATAAACTGGTGAACATAATTGCTCTTTCCAGTACCAGAATCTTCTCATGATGGTTTAGGTGTTGCTATCATTTTCCTTCAAGGGGTAATAAAAATAGTAGAACTTGCAGTTGATAGAGCAGAAAATTAAAAATTGCTGACCATCCTTTAGATGACTGCTTGAGAAGCAAGGTCACCATATTTTAAGTATGTTACAATGTTCTTGACATCTTAGGTTCAAAACTTTGAACCTGTGGAGCAAAAAAGGAGAGCCATAACACAAAAAGGGGATTTCAAGGCATTATTGGACCTATGTAACAATGTATTCTGTTTCAATCCAGTCAAATTTCCCCCTTCCTGATTAGCATTTTCTGCTGTTTGTTTTATATTTAGTTTTTTATCATTATTGCATAGCCTATCACTGTGATATGGATGAGTTTCAACGATCGTTTATTGCTACAAATTACTCTCTGTTTATGTTTGCAAGACATCCTTAATTTTCAGTTTCCCTTGGCTTTGATAATGTAAATAATCGAAAAGTCCATACAAAGAAGATACCTCTCTTACCTTGACCTCTGCTTTCCCATTACACTCTTGAGGTTTTTGAATGTTGTTCCATTCAATTTGGAATGTTGTGATACTCTGACATTGTTCTTTCAAAGGTAAAGCCCATTCTAGAACAATTTTCTGGTCAGTGTACTTTGCTGTGACGTTTATAAAACAGTCTGTTCACAAGAAGGAAATCAAAGTTTGAAGAGGATCAATGCAATTTAGAATTTGGAAAATATAAGGAGACTTACAAATTTTTTGTTTTTATAGTAATGTATAGAAATGAAATTTAACAACTTTTTTTCTCAGCAGAAGTCTAAGCTCCTTTTTGCTAGCAGATGGAGGTTGCATTAATGCAATAGAGCTTATATCTTTAGATTCCTTTAATAATTTCTTCATATTTCTCCCAAATGATGAGAAATTTAGATTTGTGGTTCAGCTTGAGAGTAATCAAAACAGTAATAGACCATTGGAAAACTGAACTGTGCAAAGCATAACTGGACAGTTAGAATACTCAATAACTACTGGTATGTAAGAATTTTTTTGTTTAAAAGCTCTACCTAGAGTAGGCAACTGAATTTAATGCAAAGGCAAAATTTTACTACATTTTGAAACTCTTTTGCTTCAGAACTCTAATTTCAATTACGTCAACAATGCAGCAGTTGTACAAAGCTGACAACTCAAAGGACAAAAACATACAATGAAAAACAACTTACAGCACTCTGACAAATTCATGTACAGTTCAAATTGACACTTCTCTGTAAAAAAGGAAATCATCTTATTAATCCTACCAAGTCAGAAAAAGAAAGAGTTGGTAACTACACTCTATGCTTTCAATTTACATCAATTAGTGGATACGTGTAAGGTATCGAAAACAAAACAAAAACAAAACAAAAACCCGACAGTAGTCATTGACCAGGATTCTGTGATCTAATAGGAGTAAGATGGAAAATTTTACTTTCACTGATGAAACAAAAAGGTTGTTAGTAAAGGTAAATTAAGATGCAAAACTCAGTGTTATTCATTATTCCAGTAGTATGACTGGACCATTTTGAAGTTTTCAAACCAAAATATTCATTTTCCCAAATACACCTGTCATCTATTCTTCAGTTTCAGTTTCCACCATCCCACATTCTGTAGTCTGTTTTAAAAAGGTCATTGAAATCATAGTATGGCTGGTTATCAAGAAAAATACCTGGTACTTTCACACTCAGGTGTACTAGATTGTTGTCATTCTCATGATGTGATGGCATACTCTGTACTGTGATCTGGTATGTTGCTCCATATCGGATGTTTTTAGAAAAGGTCCAATACCAATATTCCTTTCAAAAAGGGAACAACATACAATTAGATGTTCAATAATTTTATTTGAATAATTTATCACATTAAAGAAAAATACCGCTGTCAATTGTTTGGTAAACAGTGAGCTTCTGGATGGCATTGTTTAATGATGGTAAACAGTTCTGAAGAGTAAATCATGTTCAAAAGAAGACTAAGACAGGACCCTTGTGGAACGCCCCAGCAAATCATAGAAATACATCATCTTTATTTCTGTGGAGTACAAAAACCATTTCAATGTAGGTAAAAACGTGATTTCAAGTGCAATTTGCATGAGTTTTTCAAGACGACAAAATTGCACAGCCCAGTAAGGCAAATGCAATTTGTAGTCTTTTAAAATTTACAAGACAATTAGTGCTTAACATACCAAATTACTTGAGATTATTTATAGATCACATGTTGTTGATGATGCATAACTCAGAAATTCCCAAGAAATAACAAATTTACTTCTAGCAGTATGGGGTTGGTCTGTATGTATTGCTCAAGCTGCATTTTCTCTGATCATGGTGAGCACTGCCTGATAATGCCTGTCGATTTGGAAGAAGTCATTCCTGTCTACTTCTGCAGCAGCAGTTTGTTGCTGGTTGGTCAGTGGCTCTGGCTGGTTCTGCAGCTCTCTCAGCTGCTCTTCTCTCTCTCTCTCTGACCCAATGCCTGTGGTTGGCGATGCACATTTCTGTCTCTGAATAACTTCGCTATTTCATCTGCATCTTTTTGAGCTTGTTCTAACTGCTGGTTCAGGTTTTTTGGGCTCCGGTCAAAAAAAAGTTGAAGTTGATGTCTGGAACCCTCTACAAGCATCTACTAAATTATTTGGATGAGCTTGTGCAGTTCAGGAACTTGGAAGGCAACAGAACATTCTCCTAGCTGCTGGAAGACAACCCTGACCAGCTTCCAGTTTCCTCTACAATATATAATGAATCATTTATTCTAAAAAAACTGCTCCTCCAGGAGCCACTAAACACCAGAAAAAAAAAGACCAATAAAGAATTCAACCTTACAGCCCAATTAATCTGACTAATGCCCAGTCTGCTTAAGATGAGTATAAAATTTGTTGAGCTGGGTTGAAACAAACACAAAAAAGGCACCATATTAATATGGTTACTTTGCAGAGTTAATCGGCAACAAAAGCATACTAAATCAGCAACAAAAGCATACTAAATCAGCAACAAAAGCGTACTAAATCTAAATGAGGGAGAGGTTTGTAGAAAAAGAGAAGCGCTGTGGCTTGATCCTCCTTCAAAAGCTTTAATTAGATGTAAAAGAAGTCACCCACACACTGCCAACACTCACACACAACTGACACTTCTCACTGATTGAAATGGAAACTATAGTTAGTAATGCATCCGCTGACAGTTGGTCGACAGTCAGTAGACATTTCACTGACATTAGGTAAACAGAGGGTCCAAAATATACTTTTCCAATCCTGCATCCCACCACTACTTTTCATTCCAACTCACCATCCTGCTGCAATGAATATTTTCATCCCCATCCTATCTGGTTTAACCTAAGTTGCTCTGGTTCCCTGTCCTTTCTAAACTAGCGGGCAAACATAGCCTTTGCAATATTGATAAAGTCCTCTCATTATGGAGAAAGGAAAGAGTGCTTAGGACATATTTAACTTGCTTAAGGTTGTTGCTTAGTTTGTTAATAGCAGCATCAACAAAACCTAGATAAAGGCGCAAACAAACCATTTGTTTGGGAAATGCTACACTGACAACAAAGTCTCCCTCTTGCACACTTGCAGAGATGTTGTCAACCAGTTCATTAAACAGGCAAATGAACACCACCCAACAACCAAATTTATGGCTGAAATATCTGTTTCAGAAGCTACTTTTTAACACACCATTATCTATAAATATAAAAGGTTCAACAGGGAGTCAGTTCTTGACATGAGAATCCATTTCAAACCAACAATCTACACAATGTGTCACCCACCAGGAGCAAAGAAAGGCTTCAAATAAAGATTTTAAAGAAACATTAGACAATTCAAAACATGTCTGGCAGAAAGGCTACCAGAAATTTTCATTGACAGCCCAATCTCAGAAGCAAAATTTGAAGGACATAAATGGGTCTTTTCTCCAACATAGACAAGCAGATAAGAGAATCTTGCCCTTCATAATGCAATACCACTCAACAGTTACAAACCTCAAAGAATCCTCATGAGCTAGAGGCATTTAATGTGGCAACAACCACTGCTGAGAGAAATCTTCAAAGAACAGCCCATTACATCATACAGAAAGGGGCATACTCAAAGACATACTTGTGAGTGCAAAATTATGACAAAGGGGAGAAAACTGGACATACTTTGGAGCTAAGTAAACACATGTAACAAATACAGAGAAGACTGGACATAATATGGAATTGTTTAGACCTGTCAACTCCAATTTTCATGAGAGCATTTATTAAGCCTGTTTCTGAATCAAATAAACACTTTTTAATTTCCCTGATGTCGTGTAACTCCCAACTTTAGCTAAATCATGATCCTGACAACACCTGTCCAATCTCCTATCCCACCTTCGAAATGAAGCATATCCCAGTCTCACCTTCCTATTTCCATCCTGCAACCTGGGATAAAAATAAATGTCTTGTATCCTACATCCTGCTTCAATTTTAAGATTTATCCCGCATCTGGCCAAACCAATGTTGGACCCTCCAGACAGTTGACTGACTGTCAGCATTGACCAAAACACTGGGGGCAACTTGTTTGGATCACATTTGTTACCTTATCCTTTTCAAGTCTGATATCACAAGGGGGACAATGTGCTCAGGCTTCATTTTAAGCAAAATATCATTAGCCACTTTCAAGAGGGCTGTTTCCTTCCTAGAATTCTCCCTCTTAGCAGATTGTGTAGTTGAGTAGAGAAAATTCTCTTCATGAAGTTGTCAATTTGAAGAAATACAACTCCCTTATTAATGAATGTGGGTGAACTTAAGAGAAGACTTCTTGAAGTTGTTTGTATCATCCTCACTGCTCAACTCCTGTACTAAAAGCGCTCCTTTAAGAGAGTTGAGTGCATGTTCCTTAAATGGCAAGACTGATCTCACACTGATTTCCATATAATTGTTGTCTCAGAAGCTGTACATTAATATTTTTCATGGGTTATATTTATCTTACCATCAAGATAACACTAGGTAAAGGTTATTCCTACTTAAAAATGTAAATCAAAATATAATTAAAGGGAAAGAAATTAAAGAGTTGATTTCACTGGTATTTGGGCTTTGTTTTCTAGAGACTGGATGGAGTAAATTTAATACTGTAGATGTGTTATTTCTAACAAACAAAAACTTAACTTCAACAACTTCAACTTCAAAGTATTCTCATACTGAAGTGGTAAAATTAATACAACCTTCACAACCAAAACTAAAAAATGTTAACAGTGTTTACCTTTCTGTTCATCTGTGTACAGTCATTGTGACCAGGGTGTTTGTCTTTTCCAGAAATATAAAGCTGATAGCCCCATAAATCACCAAAACCTAAAAAATCACCACAACCAAGAGCACATCAATCACAAAATAACCTTGAGCTAACTTCTAATAAAAGTAGATAACAAAAATAAGGCATTTTTAATAAAGTTAGCTTTGTTTCATCACATTATTACTTTTGAGTGAAATAAATTTACTTATGGATAAGAGATGGTCAAGTTAAAAAAATGATAATTTTTAGTCCTAATTCTAATCAGGTCTTGAGATAAATACAATTGCACATGTCAGTTAAACTGATTGTCTATTATAATGTTCTCAAACAAGGCCATAATAAGTGAGTGACTACCAAGAAAAGCATGAGGGGAAAAAAAAGGACAAAACAGAAGTTAACAGATAATGCTTTTGACAAGGTACTGATGATAGGTACTGGCGAAAATATTTCTCTTTCTCTTATCATGACATAAGAAGACCACTCCAGAGATATTTCAAAGCAAACACACACATTTAACATCAAAACAAACTGAGATGTGGTGGCTGAACATTTAGTGACTTTCAATATGTACTGTGAACTTCCAATGGTGAAGTCTGCAACAAAATTGTAGTAATTTGTTGCTTTATGGTGCTTGAGGCTGGACAACCTGGGTAGGAGGGCTATCAGGGCTCTTTTCTATTGAGGATCAAACCAGAGGTAGAGTGAGTTTCCCTTGGTGATCCATGGGCCACAAAAGTGTCTGTGATAGGTTCCTTTGAATTCATGCAGTGAAAATTGTTGGCTATTTTTTTTAGTGTTGTTTTATCATGTCTTCATTTCATTGAGATATGATGAATTGCTAATTATAGAAATTGTCTACATACATTCACTTCTACCTTGCATACAAACCATGTGAAAAAAAAGTAAGGATTAAGTTTTAATTTGGTTACTGAATGTGACACCAGAGAAACTGGATTGGGTTACAGTTACAGTGTACGTGTATGAGGAAAAGGTTTGCCTTTAAGGTCTTGTACTTCTCCCTATATATCAGGGATTTTTTTCTGGTGCTTACAATTAGTGTAGCTAATCTCAATGGTACAATGTGACCCTTCATTTCCAAAGAAGTTGATTGTCCTATTTGCCAGCAATGGTTACACTCTGGTCTTGTACGATCTTGAGGAGAGACAGACAATCTTGATGGCTGAAACTACAACAAAAAATGTCCCATGCCTTTTTCTTCCCTCTACTTGCCAAGGAACTGGCCCAGTAACAGCCTGTGACTGCATGGAATCCAATGAGAGTGCTGCATATCTTATCACTCATGGCATGGGTGATATCATGTGCTGGAATAAAACAGCATTTATCCTTCACTCCAGTGTGAAACCAGAATTCTGGCCAGTCCAAGCTTCTAAAACTAGAATGAGACTAGAAATCAATGGAGGCTTTAAAACACACTGAATTAAATAATTCAAGCTATACCCTGTTTTTTGGATTGGTGATATACTTTAAGCATTGTCTTGGAACTGGCAGTACCTCTGATTTCCACTTTGAGGCCAATGGATGCTCCCCTTTGCTGATGCTCATCCCCTTCAATGGAGTTCACTCAGTATTGGTCAAAGACCATGTGGACTTGCAGACAGTCGTTAGAAAAGAACGAGGTGCTGAAGATGTTGAAATCTTTTTCGGAGAACTCATCAAAGGTATCTGCTACAGAATATTTTTTCATCTGTAGGACTGCTATGCCAAGGATAAGAACAACCTTTGGATTTGTTGATGCAGTAAGTTGATGAACAATAGGAATGCCTTTCTCTCAAAGAGAGCATAGTGTGCCTTTTACCCCTTTTCTGAGACTTCCATCATGGTTGCCAAGTGAATATGCTACTAAAAACAGTTTAAAGCTTAGCTCAGCCTGCCAAACAAGTCCCTGTTTGGTTAACTATAATAAGCTATATAATAATTATTATATAACTATAATAATTATAATTATTATTATAATTATTATATAACTATAATAAGCTAATTATTAGCTTATTGCTGGATTTCACTCCAATCTTCTCATTTACATTACTGCACATTTGGATGTTGATGTTTGAAATCAGTTCCCAGAAACCCACAGAATTAATATTGATTCACTCCTCAATGAAGTTATTCATCTGCTGTTGGCCTATCTCAGTACTGCAGATAAGGTTGGGGGCCACATCTTCTAGCAGGACTACTCCATTGGTGGCAAGAAGGAGTATGTCCAAATCAGGAGTAAAAGGATCAGTAATAAGACCTGTAGAATAGCAACCCATCGTCTTCTTACTGTCACTCTTGTGTTGCTTAATTCTTATCAGAACTGATTCCTTTTGTGTTGTATGAGCACCATTTTGGAGCCCATACAGGACTTTCAAAGAAGAAGTAATAGATGAAAAATCGTTCAAGGGCTGACTGACTATGTGATACAGGGATCACTCCTTAACTTGACTTGGAGTCAGGGTTGATCAACTGCTCAAGGGTTGTGAAAAGGGCTGCCCTGTACAACTTATGGAATGATTCCCTGCTATTAAATCATCATAGACATCTACCTGTTTAGTTCCAGTTGCTACATATCAGCAAGATAAACAGGTGAGTAGGGAGAATAGTTCTGCCTGTCCCTGGCAATAAAGTGTAAGTGTAAATTCTTTATTCATGAATAGTAATAAATACTGAAGGAAACATCCCCAGAATCAAATGCCTGGACTTACATATAACTGCTATAAAAAGCTAATTACAAACTATTTATGAATGTATGAACAACAATTAGATAAAATTGAAAAGGCATCTGTTTACATGAGTGTTTATGATGTTCAGTTCTGACATGAGGCAAGATATGAGGGTGTCCTCTTTTCCTTAGGCTCCTTTTTTCCAGGGTGAAAGAGGTTCATGAAGGGGATGAGTACGATCAGTAGTTATGTTGTCCTATGGTAGCTACCTTTGATTTTAATTACATCAGTTATGGGTGTATATTGGCTTAAACCTATCAATTTGGGAGAGACAGGCTGTCAAACAACAATGTAAGCTATTGCTGAAAGTAGCCATAGTATTTACAAACTCTAAGGATGTACAAACTTTGCTGAGCATATTTTCAAAATGAGTGTCCCAATTACATGGATCTTTATTTACTGTAACTCCTAACAGCTTTAGTTCACTCTTCCTAGCCATGGTCTTTGGGAGGGGCATCCTGGTTTTACCCTTAACAACCATCTTAAAGGTCTTTTTCATGTTCAGCTTCATCAGGTTGTCATCAGCTCAATGTTTTATGTTTGCTAATTCCTAATGTAACAAATCAGGATGATTGAGGCCAATTGCCACAGGCACACTCACTTTGATATCATTAGCATATTTGATCAGCAAGATTTAGGGGATTACAGGTTTGATATGGCACTTGATGAGGGCCATAGTTGTGTTGTGTCACTTCCTATAAGCAAATTGGTCAGGTCCAATCTCTGACTTAAGGATAGAAGACATCTCTTGTTTGCAGACAAGACACTCAAATATTCTCATTATGATGTTGGTTGATGAGATTGGTCTAAGTTGATTGCATTTAGTCAGAGGAGATTCCTTAGGAACAGGTGTCACATTTACTAGTTTCCTCAAGAATGGAAAAGTTTGATGCTTGAGTGGGCAATTGAAAATTTTGGTGATCACCGGTGCATGACAGTGTGAGTAATTGCACCAAAGCCAGTTAGGAAATTCATCAGGCCCTGAAGCAGTTCATTTCTTATGTGTCTGTAAGTTCCTTACTTCACATTCATTCCCAGTCGGGAGACAGGTTCCTACTGATCTTTCAAGACATTTAGGAGCCTCATATGCATCATCTGTGTTAATGGTTTGGAAGTATGTGTTGATGACAGCAGGGGAAATCACTGGGCTAATAAGCGTGCCTTGCATCTTTCTACCAGTTATACTATTGGCCATATCCTACCATCTTTTGGAGACTCGGTTGCATTTTATTTGCTCGTTGTTCAGAGCAATTACTTGGTTCATGTGAATAAGTGTGTTAATTTTCTCTTGACAAATAATGTCCTCTGCTTGGTTGTCCCGATGTGGGGCAATTTTATTTCTAATTTTGCAGAGATGCTATACCAGGGGGAACATGTTGGGCGGGTCTCTGGGAGATACTCAGATGTGATGAGCAAAGAACTCTTGTTGAACATCAATCATAGGCTTGCATCCAACAGTTTCATGCTTTCTCCTGGGTTATCTGAGTTGTTAATAGAATTCCAAGAAAAAGCACTTAGCTTGGTTGTGATAGCAATTTTGCAGGGGTCCCTTATGTCATGGAAACTGGCATATTTTGGTTGAGGTTTAGCTAGGATAGAAGGAGGTACAGGAACAACTAAATGATTAGACCTCACCAACCCTTGTACACCTCGCTGGATTTCCAAAGCAAAGGAGAATTAGCCAGAAAAACATCAAGCACTTTGTCCTGCCTAGTGGGTACTTTAACCATTTGATGCGGACCATGTTGTTCCTTTATTTTCATATGATTTATGTCCTACATATTCAAGGACATATTGTCTAACTGACATTCAACCAATAATTAAATGGTAACAAATAATTGTATTAACAATAATAATAATGATAACAATAGTCATATAATAATAATTCAAAGGGGCTAGCTTGAAAGCCATGGTTCACTTATCCTCTGGACTCCAACAATGATTACCAATGTTTCCTATAAATTTCCCTGTTACTTACAAATAATTTTCTTACTTTAATGCCATTGCATTTTTTGAGACTTTTGTTACACACAAAAGGTTGGGTTTTAGGATAATCTGTCATTCCATGCTGAACCACCATTCCTCCATTCCATCAATATGTTGAATAACTGTGTTGCAGCAAGGACTGAAAAGATTATATCTACTGACCTACATAATTTGTGATTTAAATGGTAAAATGCCCTCCCTTTGTAGAAAAATGTTCCCTCCAAGTTTCATGACATGGTGATCAGATAATTCTGCAAGGAAAACTTTTGCTTTTACAATCCTATCAAAGTGCTCTATGAGCAAACTCGTGAATTGACACATGATTTTTTGGATTATATTTAATGTTATCTGGTTTAGGGAATTTTGTGGTTGCTTGTCACATCTAGAGTACGAGCAGTAGTTCAGTGTTTGCTCTTGCACATGCGCACAATTCACAAGTTAAAAATGAATGTCATCTTCAGCTGTCTTCTGTAGTGTCACAGCAAGAACTGAAAACATAATGCACTAGTGGCTATAAGCCAGAAATCACAAAAGGAGAAAACTAAAATGTGTATCAACTGTGAATTTCATCCAATAAGATACTCTAAAACAAACAATAAGGAGCACAGGGAACACCTCATCTTGATAACAGATGTGGCTTTGCCTGCTATAGGAGGCAGTGGCCACAAAAAAAAATAGTTTGATAACTTTTTTTTTCCACGGATTTATATGAAAGACATGCTTTTCAGAGAAAAGGTCCCCAGGTAATTTATTCATTCACAGTATAGACCAGATCCTGGGGATTTCTCAAGACCAGTCCACAGATTTCTTACACAATCCCCCTAAAATGGTATGCATAAATCTTTTCGAGGATGCTGCATTTCAGAATAAAGGTAAAGGTACAACAAAATCACTCCATCACCAGTGTTGGACTAGCAAGTTCTGTTCAATTTTTCACTTTGGGTACAGTATTGTGCAAAAGTAATGCAAATGAGATATTTTTTGTTTTGGTGACCTTTTGTTGAAAGTTCCAGCAAAAATTCAACAGAACGTTTGTGGCCTTTCAGTTGTACAAAGGATGCTTTCGTCATGAAGAAAAAATTCCTGGCCGAAAGCGTCTTTTTCAACGATACAGTGATTGAAATTTTTTTAGACTTCCCTGAGTGATCAAGTTTGTTTACCATTCATGTAGCAAACATGAAATATTTCCAAACATATTTCCGATCTTTTCAGTCACCAAGACAGTATGAGAAGGACACTCTATATTTGAGACCAAACTTAGGGGACAAAAGAATAAAATACCAATAAAACATCAGATTCTGGGCTCAATCTGTGTATGACAACGAAAGTAAATCAGGTAAACTGCCCCCAAGTGTCTAAAAGTAATTCTGACCAAGATACATGCATTTGGCTGAAATTATTTCCCAAACTAATCCAGAAATTTTGCATATGAACTTCATTCGTCTGATGTTTAAACAAAAGGACAAAACAAGCCTTAACCATCACATGCAATTCACAATAAGTTCAATCTCTTTATGACAAGGGAAGTAGATCAGGATGAACTGCATGTATTTGGTTGAAAAGAATGTACATGAACAGTGCATAAAATAATGTAAAGTCTATGGAAATACAAAATTCAAATCATAGGCAACTAACCTGTATTAGGTGCTGTCCAGGTAACTTGAATGACGGGCATTCCATTATAAAGATGATAAGAGCCTTGAACATTCAAGGGCTTTCCTGGGAATGATGGACAATTTGGATGGGACTGCGTACTGAATGGCACACAAGATGTGACTGTCAAAGAGAAGGATCACATTGCAATCATATTTATCTGTATAGTTTTCAAAGTATGTTTGCATTGGTCCGTCTCATGTTATAAATTTTCAGCAAAGAGTTATGTGCCATAGAACTATTATGTTTAATATATTTCATGAAACCTCCCAGTTCTGTGCCTATAACTTAAGATTCAACACATCTTGACTGTACTAAATCATATAAAGAAGCAGTTTGCAACAATGTACAAGATTGAATACTTAATAATCTTAAAAATTCTACTTCCTTAACAGTCTTGGAAATGTCTAAACTGTCTGCTTTTCCGGATCAATTTCTGTGCAGCCGTATCTAGGCACATGGACCTACATGAAGCTTGTGTGTGAAGTAATAAATCTAGGATTACACTCAAAATGAATGTTCATGCTCCTAATCACAACCAAAGTCATAAAGTATGGAGCCTTTTTGTCCTGTTTTGCTTGTGCATGGTTATCACTGTTGGCTGACAGTGACAAAGCTGTGCTCTTCAGTTTCATTTCACAATTTCAGTTACTATAGGTTTCTTGTTAATAACATTAAATAGTGCAAATTCAAAATACAGTGAATACTTTTCTACAAAGTAATACAGATTTTCAAACTCAGTGTTGAAAACAATTGCTTTGCTCAATCTTTCATCATTACAGTCCATGGCAAATATCATTTTGTTACTTGTATCATATGGATTAAAAATTAAAAATTTAATTATAAAACAATTTACAAAGTTTTTTAAGTCACCTACCATATTTACTTACAGTAGGCCACATTTTTTAATTGGAAAAATGGGATAAAAGTTTGGGGTACGGTCTATAATGGGGTACAAGCATCTTGACACCTCATATATATGCTTCACCCTTCAAATTGTATTACCTGTGTTGCAATGTGATAATCTTTGTTTTTGTAGTTTTCTACTAATTGGATATGATAACGAACCTCTACATCTCCTGCCTCAAACTGATATACCTAAGATATATTTTTTGTGACTGCAGGTTTTCTTTTTCCTTTCTGTACTGGATGAAATTATAATGAGATATCTAGCAGTCAATTCCACCAATTAAAAAAAAACCACAACTATCCTCATCCATTGAAGTGTTTAAAATAAGGTTATACCAATAGATCCAGCTCCTTATGTTGACATAAGGTAATTGAATAAAATCAAACAGCCAATGACCTTTCAATGTTCCCATATATGGCTCATGTTTCACATCAGATCAGAAACAATCAAAATTATTCAGTGTTGGGTTTGCACCTAAACTCCAATTCTCTTGTTCAATGATGCTTACAATAAACTGTAAATAGAAGTTTTAAGATGAAAATTTCCATGTTCAAGGTGAGGAGTGATCATTACAACAAAAGTAAATCTAGAAGTGTCTTCATTCTCACTTCCTGAAAATTACAGAAAGACACTTCAGGGCATAGTTCCATTAGTTGTTTTCTTGTTACTCCCTTATTCATCACTGCATCAATCTGATTAGTAACCCTTCTATCATAGAGGGAAGCCCAAGTGAAGGTCAGTGCTGCCTATTGCTCCTTTTACTCTACACCAACTTTTTAAATTTTATGACCTTTCTTTGGTTTGAGTTTTGATTGCATTTTACTAAGTACTCTTTTCCACCAAAATGAATGAAAAGTTAGAAGTGTAGCTTATACACAGGTGCGGTCAATCTGCAGGTAAATTCACTATTTAGTGAATGATAATCATATTTTCACTGATTATCATATGTATAAACTATACTTGTTCATACAAATGATGTTTCAGACCTAATCTAAGGGACAACACCTCATTACCGTTGGCATCAAGAGGCCCTCCACAGGATTCCAGAGGAGAATCTGTCACAAAAAAAAAAAAAAACATAGTTGGTTAGGGAAAACATACTATTTGATATTTGGGACCTTTATTGTGGTCTAAGCCATTATTAAGCAAACACAATTCAGACTCACTAGTTGGCTTTATGAAGTCCATCAAAGAATTAAAATCTGGAGTCACTGATTAGTAATGATTGTCAAATTGTGTTCTATGCAACTATACATTTGATAAATAGCTACCATTTATACAAATTTGAATATAGTATGTTTCTGTATTTTTTTAAGACACATCAGAGAGTTGAAAGACTGACACAGGATGCAACCTTAAGTGGTGCATCATTATGAGGGCAAATACCTACATATACAGCAAACTCATCCCAGCACAATTTATGCTTATCATAGAAGCTATGCATCTTAAGCATTCAAAATGCCAACTTCCTGAACAAATTTCAGAGATCCAAACTACTCAATAAATGTTGCCCTGAGAATAAACTTCTTGCTACCACCCACAGAAGTTGCAGTTCCAACAGTTATAGAATTTAAAATTTGAAACTCTACATCAGATTCTGTTTACATCGGAAAACTTCTTGATTGCTTACTGCAATAAACTCGAGTTACAGCTCTCCATTCTTAAAATGTATAGTTTTATAATGTCATCATTGTCAGCCTCCATCAGGGTCTGTGATGACCATAGAAGAGAGACCTAATAGTATATGCTCTACTGGAGCAGCACAGCCTGTGACTGAGGAGGCCAATGCCTAAATGGCAGTCTCTGTCACTCAAATAAAGATCATCTCTATGCTATTAGAAATGCAGCATTCTTTCCTGAGGGTCACCTTCTCTTCCCCTGCACTGATCACTCTTTATTCTCCTGAATTCAGCTGTATGGTCAAATACATACAATGTATAAGTTTATATCTATGTGGGCATGTATGTATGTATACAATCAATCGCAGAAATGTTAGATTACAGATGGTCTCCATTCATTCTCAACATGCAACACTTTTTAGCTGTTGTTTTAGTGTTTTTGCAATCAAATGTTATATAAATGTAGCCATTCTTTGAATATTGCAATTAAAAAATAAACATAGGCATGTGTATATGTAGCATGTGAGAGTTATTTTTTAATAAAACCTAATTTATCTGAATTGACACAAGTATTATGTGGTCTATTGTCTCTACTGCCCACATACCTCTACGCAAAAATAAAACACATTGGTGCTAAACTTACTGTCATCTCCTTTTCAGCCATTTTTTGGTCTCAACACTCAATGCCCTCTATTCCGAGCTAGAGAGAGAGTGCACTGCATGTCAAAACCAAATAATGGTTGTGAAAGAAATTACACTTACTGCCGTTCTTCTAACAGAGAGTATCAAAATTATTTGTCTACAGTCAATTACTTCAAAAATGTAATTCCGAATCATTTTACTACAAAAACAAACTGAAACTTTGTTGTATCTCCAATAGACCCCAACCAAAGATATATTATACTCTCAAATAAGTCAGGATCCATTGAACAAGAGAAAAGGATAATATTTCAAAGGCTCCTCAATTGTTCCCTATCTGGACGTTACTCCCTGTGTGTAATATGTGATAATATGAAGGTTGCTTACAAGGAACACAGGATGGGGTTAAGTCCAAGGTAGCTAAAAGTAAATTTTATTCATAGAAAAAGTCAAAATGCAGGAAAATTTCTTGGAAAATTCAATATCAGTAGCATTTAGTTCCATGTGTGCTTTTAACTTGAAAATGATTGAAAAAATTTAAATGTGAACCTTTAATATCTCAATAAATCTCAACCTTACTCAAAGAGGCTTCTGCGAGGGCCATAAACCTTTGCACTTATCAAATGAGCCCTAAATTTCTGGTTGATGTCATTCTTTATGCACAGCCCCCTCATTCCATGACATCATTTGCCAGAAAACAATAGCCAAATGCTGTGATTGGTGCAAGACATTGAAATGCTTTGATATGATTGATGCTCAATACATACCCTACTATGGCAATCTGATTGGTGCAAGTAACAAACCCCTCTACATGCTAACATGGAGTTTTTTTCAGAAAAAGAAAAAAACTAAAAAATGATAGACATGCCTTTTGTTTTATCATCAAAAGGATGTTGACATAAGCATTATAATAACAAAAAAAAGGTATATACATATCATGTATATGCAACGCTTGCAACTGCAACACTTTTGAGAGCTGGCGTTTAATACTTATGAGTACACACATTACACAATTACCTTGGATGTGCAGCTGCCATAGCCTAAGAACTGTGCCATTTACTACAAATGAATATCTCCCTGAATCACTGTCATCCACATTCTTGATCTTTAACCAAAACTTGCTCTTATTCTTGTTGAATCCAAAAGATATCTTGTCTATTTTTGAGATTAGTTTTTGAGTGTCTTTCTCCCAATGTGACCTCTGCAAAGCACTGTCAAAGTCAAGGACCTTTGATTTATATATCAGTCGTGCTGACTGCCCAGTCACACAATTAAGTTGGAAAAGCTTAGGGTGACTTTCCTGTAGGAAGAATGGAAAATGTAATTAATAATTATTTGTGTTCATTTGACAACCCATTTTATCACTACTTTCAGTTTTATAATGCATTTGAACTTTTATTAAGCAGCACCAAATTTAGCAGTCACCCTGTAATAAGCAGTTGGTTGTCAGTGCCAAATTCCTCTCTTCTTAATTATCATTATTTTCACTCCTATAAAGTGGTCACTTCTTTTAAACAGGTTGTGTTCACTCTTTGACTGAGTCCCAACCATGTGTTTGAATTGAACATTCACTTACATGTAAAGCAGAACTGCTCAAACAAAACTAAGAATCATTTCTCAAGTATTTTCGTTTCATGTTTATCTCCCAATATTGATGTCACATGTAGTACTTGGAGTTCAAATGTCTTCAATGCATTGCTCATGAAATTACTCTGTTTAATGGCCACCAGGCAATCTGGTACCAAAAAAAAGTCAGAGACCTGATCCATAAAAGCAGACTAAAGAAAACCAAAACAAAAAACACAGATTTGAAATTATCTTTCTTCTTAGGACTATTGGACCAAATATTATGAACAATCATCATGTCATTTGCCAATTAATTAACAGAGGCTCAAATGTTTGAAAGTAGTCCCACCAACTTCAACAATTCTGGTTTATTGTTCTGTCATGACACTGCACCACCATTTCATTGCTGCTGTTTGTTAACAAAGAATCATACATTCTTGAGATCTCTCTTGAATGAAATGCACATTAAGTGATTAATTATAGCACAAATTGACGTTTTTTGGTGAGTTTGACCTCTATTCTCTGAAACTTGTACTAATCTATCAACCTGTATTTAATGGTCACCCCTCCATTAGTGGGGGATCACTTAATATGGGTTCCACTGAAATCACCAATAAATGCAAAAATGTATTTATTATAGGCACCAATGCAGTATGGTCCAAAGCATATTAGGACACCAAAGTACTATGTAAAATGTTCAAACACCTCAATTTGCTAATTGACTGCTACACCTTGTGCATAAATGACACCTTACCCAAAATACAAACTTTCAATGACACAAACAACTTTTGAAAGGAAAACAAAATTAGCTAAATTTAGTTTATATTCTTTATTTGATATGAAAACATATTGAAATCTACCTTCACACTAGACATTTTGCAATATAAACGGTTGTAGCAAAAGTGAAGACCCCCAAAAACAAAGACCTAAGACCCCCTTAAAAGCAAAGTTGGACACAGGAAGTGTGCATCCCAGTAAAAAACAGCTAAAAGGTTGGCAACTTTTTGGCTCACAATGTGATCATTTATCAGTTTAGAAATAAAGCAAAATAATCCAACATTACATTACACACTAAACCACAGATTGCTTTATTTCCCTTAATTTTCCTATTTGTTGCTTTCTTAATTTATTTTTGAAAACACTAGTGTCCCTCAGAACTTCTAACTGCCTCCCTTGATGTCCTTGTTCTAGGAAGAGAGCTTGCCAATGTGAACTTTTGACCTGGCTGATGCCAGTGGGTGTTACAGCATTGCTCTTCAGCCTTTTAACAGTGGGAGATAATTTCACAGCTGTAGTGTTACTTAAAAAAACATTTAAAACTGAATTTTTAATCTCCTCCCAAGTATCAATGCTTCCGGGGAGAACTGGAGAACTTAAGCAGAGACATGTTTGAGGTGCATATGGCAACTGGAAGGAGAAAAAACTTTTTATAGCATGCTTAGATGTCAATGGATCGACTGAAAGGCCTCCACTTTAGCATTTTAAGCTCACTTGTACTGACCAGAGAGGTATATTGAGCATTGGGGAGAATCTGCATTTGATCATATCCTTTGTCATTATCAATTGACAAAATAAGGGTCTGTGTTTTGGTATTCGTTTTTTGCATCTTATGTATTTGTTTTTAAGGGTCCTTGTTTTAGCTTCAACCCAAAGTAAACAGAGCCTTAGGGTCTCAATAACAGGATACAAATTTTTTTGCCCCTACAGTGTATGGTCAAACAGTTAAAAAATTAGATTCATTAACACATCAAAGAAAAATTCTCTGTAACAATAAAAGTGATACATGTGAAAACAACAATGGCCTCTAAAGAGCCAAGATGTAGTGAGGAATGTAGGTGGTAATTTGATAAGGAATAACATTTACAAGGTAACTACCAATTTTAATTGGTTACACTTTTATTATTGTAATTTTCAACGATTCAACACCAAGTATAGAAAGGACATCCAAGACCCAAAACCTATACCCTTGTTGAGAAATATAAGTTAACATGTTACAAATCAGCGGGCTTCACAACCTCTACCTGTTTAAGGAAATGGTAGACCTTCAAAGGCCAATCTGAAATTTTCTTTTCACGGCAAACCAAGCATTATCATTTTAACTATTACCTCCACAAAAAAATTTTGGTGAAATATTGAAACACCCACCAGTTATTTATAATTAAAAGAAGTATTTTTGAACTGAACTCTTTAGTCTGTCAAAGTGTCATGTTATGTTGACATAAATGACTCCCAAAGAGTTTCTTGCAGCAAAACATCCTGATCCTTGAATTCTAATGACATAAACATTCCCCCAATTTCTGTTTCATGTCTCTGTTTCTTTGCTATCTGTCTGCATTTACGAATACTGGCCCTCTTCAAACAAATTAAGAGGGTATATCAACTGTATGGATTGCCTTGAAACTATGTTTGAAGACTCCCAAGATACCAACTTAAAAACCATGTGGGGGAATTCAATTTTTTAAAATTGATCTCCCATGATAGCCTCCAGCATAATACACATCAGTAAAATTTTGATTAGCAAGTTTGACACACAAATTACAAAGTGACTAATAAAAAAATAAAAAAATCCCCTCAAAGTTTTGAAAACCAACTCCTCAGGATTGAGATTGTGCAGAAGTCTTATTTGTGCTGTCAGATTTAATATGTGATTATTTTCCTCAAAGAAACATTGTCCATTTTGAACTGTCATGTCCCATTCATTCTACGAATAAACCAAGCTAAAACAAAAGAATTTTTTGCAGAATAGTGCATTTCATAACCTTTCCATTAATATATAGTTTATGATGGTTAAGCTACAGTATTCTTAATACCCAGAGATAGAATGCTCTAAGTAGTCTAGGCTTTGGGTGTTGTAAGTTCCTTAAATGATATTGAAAGTCTGCTCTGTCCCTCCGTTTTTTCTTAAGTGTATTTAGTATGTAAACTTGTTATGACAAGAAATAGCTGTTGACAAAACCTGTACCCCCTCTTCTGGACCCCTTCCTGGATACCCCTTTGGACACCCATATATATAGACTCCAAAAGATCATCTCCTTTGCTTCCAATTATAAAGGAATAAAATGTAATGAAATGCCATTTTCTGAACAAAAACCACCTGATATCATAGAATGGAAGATAACACAGCTTGAGAACAATTGCAAGTGATCACTTACCATACACTCCACTCACTGTGTTGGAAAATGTGCTCAGCCCACAGTACCAGTCAGGGGCAAAATAAGATTGCAGAACAAAATGGCAGAGATTGAAAAAACTGCTGTATGTAATTCAAAGATTTGCTGTTACCAATACTTCACAAAATTATGGAGTAGATACACCAACACAAACATATGGTTTCACATTTTCCATGGACTGATTAGACTTTGCTGTGTAAAACTTAGAATTTAGCAGGAGGGGGGGGAGGGGGGGCAGGCAGAGGGAACTCCATGGGAGTCAGAAGAGGTTCTTGTTTATCACTTTAACCACACCTTTGTTCTTGAGTCTTAAACCAAATAATTTGTTATTTCTTTTACCCCAGATAAGCCTGAGCATGAGTAAGTGAAATTTTTAACATCTCATGGGATTAATATAAAATCCACGTATAAAAACACGACTGTTCTGCTCAATAGTATCCAACCTTATCTAGTTAAGTTGTAGGAGATAATTAATCAGTAGAAGGCATTGTGCTTAGCAATGATTAGACTTTCTTCCATTGTTGCTACTTTTTCTAAGCATATAACATGATTTTATCTCCATTAAAACACAGCAAAATTTTCTAGTCTGACCAGGTACTGGACCACATCAAATTCAGAAAGATAAGTAAGGCAATTAAAAGAGAGAAGAGACAATAGGATGAACATTACATGAAGTTTTCTATAATGAAGAATGTTAAAGAACTTTTTCATTTTTCATGTTTAACTTATCAAAAGTAGTAGATATCCCATCTGAAATTCTGCCTCCACACTCAGCAGTATATGTGTTTGTTTGTTTTTTTATTAACCAAACGTTAAGTTTTAACATGTTTTCAACCCAACCTCACCCTTTACCACACCGGGACCTCTAGTAATTCTGTTTTCAGGTCATGCACCAACCCAATTATAGTTCACTAAAGTGTTCTCATAGTGATCCCTTAGAACTCCCCTACAAAAGGCCTTGTTTATCCCAAGAACTCTTCACATTCTATGCCTCATTTTCAATTTTATACTCAATTTTGGGGGAAATTGTGGTTTTTCATGAGAAAAAAATTAAATCATGCTACTCTTCAGGTTATATCTTGGCAGAGGAAATGAGAAGGTAAACAAAGTTCTAAAGTAAGACATATGTCTTTCATAGATGTTCTAGATTTGAGGTAGCTTTTAATCAGAATGGAATGGGAAATAGAGGATACTACATAGCTGAGCAGAGAAAAATTTCTTGTGTCTTGATACCCAACGAGTGCAATATTTTTCATCATGAGAGGAAAATTTTGTATCCCCAGGCAGACATGAAATATTCTATTTATTATATAAACACCAATGAAAAAGCAAACCATTTCACTTCTGTTGCAAAAGTTGCAATTTAGTATGTAACCATTAGGATAATAATGGTGTTCTTTTAACGTGTGAAGATAACATGCTATTTTCCCATGTGAAGATATGATGTTTTCACATGAAAGCTCGCCTGGTATTTCACTGGCGTTAAATATATAATAAACAGATTTATTTTAGGAAGTTCTTCTGGAATGATTCATAATGCAAGTTTCCTTAGTAAGGATGCATGTACACAAGAAATATATATTTGCAATGAATTCATAAGAAAAACATCTCTCACAGTAACCTCTGTTTATATTAATGAGTAATACACAACAAGAAGCTTGAATTCACATGATGGTCGAGGTTGCTCTGTAAATGGCCGTTGTCCAATTATTTGTAGAAGTTGCCTTTCAATTCTATTTTGTGTCTTGAATAGGTAAAATCATGTGTTGATGAATATGAAATAATTAGAGAGGTAGAATCTGAGTTCTACTCGTGCCATTATACCTTACAGATCAAACCAAAACCAACATCAGCAGGGCATTCGAAGTTAGACTACCAATACAACAATTAATATCAGTAGTCCGTTATTCATAGGTTCATATACAAGACAGAAAAATAAACGTAGTTAGCCATGCAATCAATAGAACATTAAGTGGACGGAATGTGAGTGATTACCCTGTCCATTGTCCATGCGGAAACTGTCAAATACAATGACTTTAAACCTGGAATACAGCTAATCGTGAGTTGAACACCTCAGCACGGCAGTGTAATTGATGAGGATATGCAAATTTAGAAAACTTAAGAATCTTGGCTTCGCTTGTCACAAAATACTAACCACAAAAATAATTCACAATGTTACTAAGGTTCATTTTATAGGCAACAAAAATAGTTCCGCGGTACTACAACAGACGAAGTTTCACAGTATGACAGAAGTGGGAAACCACCAAGCCGAAAGTCCTGTAAACTTAATTTAATGAACGTTTTATTTGATATTAAGAGTTCATTGATGATATACTACCTTTCGAGGTATTCTTAAGTTTTATATCGTATCAACAGAGTAAAGCCACAAAGAAAACTAACCAAAAAAATACGTCAGAAATTCTGAAACACAGCTGTAACAAGCGCACTACTGATGTTGGAATAGAACTTTTGAGGGAAATAATTCGCCTCGCATGCATGTATTGTTAGATTACTCACCGCGTTGCGCCGTATCCTCTTGGCCTCGACACTAAATACTGTCCATTCCACAGCTATGATCAACAAAACGAAGACCTTAGGAGTTATACAACGATGCACTATGACAAGGACCATTGCTGTTCGACAACGATTTGGCTTTCGAGCTTACAAGGCGGAAGCCTTCCAAAACTTCAGGCATAATACATCCCTATACCGCTGTGACGACAGACTTTCATTACAATTACCCAAACTCCATCCACCGGGCTAATATACATGCAGAAGTTGTGGGCGGTACAGGAAGTTTGAAAAACTGAATAACGTCAAGCGAAGTTATCTACATAACAATCGACCGATGTTTACGAATTTGCTGAAATTCCGGTTTCCAAGTATTGACAAAGAAGTGTGTGTCAGCAGTACTGTTTCCCTCGAAAATACAAAAGATAAACTTTAAGAGTGCAAATGGCATCAAATGATCAATTTAAATCGTGATGAGTTTCCCAGTGTACAAAAGGGACAAAAGGCAAAGGGGTGCACAACCATAGTTAATTAACGTTTATCACTTCATATTCAATCTCAATATTTTGCTAGAGGCCAACCTAAAGCCTTCCTTATCTCCTGCGGGAAGAAATCTATTGTGAGTGGATGATAAAATAATAAATCATGTATTAAAATACTGCCAAGAAGGGTAGGAGAAGTAACTCTCTTCACGTAAACGAATATCAATCAGTCCTACTTTATCACATTGAAGATTTGGCGCTTCGCGAAACCGGGTGCTGTGCTGTGGTGTTCACCTCAGTATTCGAGATGAGGCAAAAGTTTACCACCACCCCACCCTCCATCCCCCTCCGCTGCCCACATCCCGTCAGAACACGAGATACACAACAAGGTGACCAACCGCTCTGTCACAGTAGCGACAGATGAAACAACGCAAAGCTAATTATATCTAGCTGGTAAAACTGTCTACGTTGGCGAAAGTCGTCTCCTATAAAAGAAAACCGGATGAACTATTTATGTTACTAAAACCTAAGGGTCATGGCTACTAACCTCAACCTCTATAGTTCTATGGGGACAGGACTTTCAGACAGTAGACAGCTGGGGTCCTATAATCCAGCTCTAGGTAAATAAAGTGGTCTGGAAATTGTGTTGTCACGAAGACTACAGTTATCGCTGTTCGTGTAGTTACAATAATTATGACGATGCAGAGAGATCAGCAGTGTCATGGTCGGTTCAGGGAAAGTGCATTTGAGGTCCACTAGTCAAATTCTAGGCGAGTGGCGGGGATTTGGATACTGTTTTATTACTCTTTGCTGTACTTCTAGGGTTACGTTTGACACCTGTTCTCTCCGGGAAAAGTAACAATCGAGGAAATCCGGAGAGCGCTCTGTTATGCTGGCTATCACCAACGTCTATAGGGTCGGGGCTATCAGCCAAAGTGCATTCAAGGCCCTCTAATGTAATTCCAAGGGAAGCTAAGGGAGTGGATTCGGTTCGAAATCTGTATCGTGATTGTTTGCTTTCTCGTTTCTCCTCCAACTATGACCTCAATAATTAATTAGAAGCACCACTAGCTTGATATTTCAAACTCACAAGGGTTCTGCCTTAATTATACTTGACGTTTCAGAAGTTCCTTCTAAGAGTGTGTCCACGAGAACACCAGACAGTCGTGCTACATGCCATCCCACCGATTTCAATGAAACTTTACCAGTTAAAGGGTCTACCCCAAAACTCAAAAAGACAGACTGGTTTCTGTTTTGGTTTTTTTCCAAAGGGAGATAGACCACCTCCCCCTCGGTTTTTCTTGGTTTTCACCAAGGAAATCGCTTCAAAATAGGTAAAATGTATGAAGCTCTAAATGCGATGGTATTTAACTAATTACTCTGAGGGTTTGCACACATATTACATTCTTAGTTAATGTCCGACGCATGTTTCAGTAAATTTGATTGACCGCTTGTCAATCAACAGAGGCAAATAAACGACTGTGTTTTTAGACTTTTCGATTCATCCAAATATTTGACCACTTTTAGGTCAAATATCATCCCTTGCCAGAAAGCTACAACACTAATCTTAATTCTCCTTTATAATCCATCATTTCATCTCCGAAAACCGTCAAAAAATCTTTGGGCACTAAAGTATTTTTGTCTTGGATGTCTTCTAAAATCTACGACTGTGACAAGCTTCTCTCAACTCCATCTGTCACGCAATTCTGGCTCTAGGCGGTCTCTCGGGGTGTCCGGAAAACTAAGACCTAAGACCTAAGGCTGAAGACCTAAGACCCGGAAAACTAAGACCCTGATTTTTGGGGGGAAATCATCAAATTTCAGCTTCTTAAACTGGATTTAAGTTTTCCGCATTACTTCAAGTTGTAATGTGAATTCCACATCTTAATATACGTATCTCCTTACTTCTACTTTCTCCTGAGCCGACATTCTGTTTTCACGGAAACTAAAAACTAGTAAACGGTAGACCGTGTTGGCGGGTAAACTGGAGCGAGCATAGCCCTTTTCGTTTCTCTTAGGGCTTTGAGGCTATATTCTAGATTCCAGTCTTCATGTATGCAGTAATAAATGTTTCAAAAGAATGTATGAGAGAGTTGTTGCGTTTTTTACTTCCGTTCAAGAATTCTTTGTCATAAACAGCCAATTAAAAAATTCCAGTTAATTAAAAAATCCCATGACCCCAGACCCCTTCGGCCGATTCGATCTTTAGGTAGCAGTTTGTTGCTGTCAAACTGCGCTATCCCGTCATTACGAGAATCAGGCCTCCTTGTAAGAAGTCGAGGAAGACAAAACTTCCGGAAATTCGACATCGTTGAACGCGATTAAAAGGCTAGCCCATTTTGGTCAGTAGTAACCGATGCCCCGTTCTCTCCTATCGGCGGGAGAAAGAAAGAAAAGCTTCTTCAGTCGTCTTTTTTAACGTGGTAAAAAGTCCAGAATCTGGACTTTCCTCTGATTGGTCACGAAACAAAAGACAACATTAATCTATATCCTGATAAGTTACCTGGATGGAAGTGCGACTTAAGGAACCGGAGCGATTTTTTGTTAGCTTTAAATGCATCGCTCGCGTGATTTCTTCATAAAACACTCAAGGATGAACAAGAATTAGTCACATATAAAAAATAAAAAAAAATGTTAGTACTACGAAACAGTTTGAAATCTCAGTTCTGGGCTGAAAAACTTTCAAACTTTACAATATCAAACCGTTAAAGCGTTACGCGCGATAGAAAGCAGCCGTGACGGAACTTCAGAGGTCAAATAACTTTTTTTGTGAAATAATTATTTCAACACCTATTTTCTCGAGTGCTTCTGGGTTATATAACTTTTGACATATAGACTTACATTTGTGGCCGGCTAATGAATAAAACCAATAATTTCCACCGGCAAAGAATATCACTTATCTGATGGCCTTGCTGCCATTCGATTCCCGACAGACGCCAGAAAGAGGCGACAGATAAGTCGTTGAATGATCTTTTTCTATTTTTATTTATGATTTTGCGTATAATATCGCAAAGCTAGTTGTGTCCAAATGGCCATCAAATTATCATGAATAATATAATTCTACTAGTTTCGTACTGTTTACTGACGGAAACTTTGAGTGACCATAACTGGGTCACAATCCGCCGAGGCTGTGGAGTGGGTGAGCGTACAACAAAAGAAAAAAAGAAACTTTAAAAAATTGTAACTGCTACTTTTTAAATACCTAATCATGAAAAGCAAAGCATTGGCACCAAGGCACCACGTACTTCTGCCGACGAAATCATCAGATCGGAAATTGGGAAAGTTATCAGAACGATATGAAAGAATATTTGTTAGCAAATAGCTTCAAAGTAATACGTTCTAGTGATAATATGGAGGTAACAAAACGAAAGACGCAAAGCACCTTTTCGAAAATTGCCGTCTGGCAAAGTAGACAAAGCATTGCTTCGCTTCATTTGTTTTTCGCAAACTTTAGTACACAGTATAACGCCACACTGCGACAACCGGAAATAGTTTCGTTTGCCATACTTCAGCCCCTTCTCGCCGCGCTTTTTTTTTATTTTTTCTCGCGCCCCGTCTTCCGCGCTGCGCCTCAACTATAAACTGAATGTCTGGAAGAGGCTAGCTAAATTGTTATTTTTTAAGTGTGAGTGCATTTATTTTATTAATTTTACCTTATAAAAGTAAAGGAAGCGGAAATTTGATGATTTCCCCTAAAAAAAAACCAGTTTTCTTAGTTTTTACCGGAAAACTAAGACCCGGTCTTAGTTTTCCGGGTCTTAGGTCTTAGGTCTTAGCTTTCCAGACACCCGCTATGAATGATGAGTATGACATCACATCTCCAGAGAACATAGGCGGCTTATGGCTAGGTAAGAGACTTCTGGCCTGTTTTGTAACAATCATCTCTGACAGTTCTGCCTTTCAATGTCAATATAGTCTTGATCTGGTCTTGTACTTTCTATAAGGCTTGCATCCTCTCTGTAAACGTACGTATATCCTTTCTGATCGTCATAAGATAGCGTGGTGTCAGTGGGAGTCCCATTGTCTTTTTCAATTTCTTCTTTAATGGGAAGGTTCCTTGGATTAAACGTTTGGGCAGTTGGTTTCATAGTACCAGCACTGACTGAGATGGGCGTGGTGACAGAAGTTGTCGTTGAAATGGTGCTGACTACAGCTGAACTTTAGAATTTCACAGAAGGCACCTTTAGTGTACACTGACCGTTAGGTTGTGCCTCAAATAAGATGGGAATGGAAGTGAGATTAGCTGTTACATCTTTCAAATAATCATTCATGCCATGAATGATTTGTTCTTCGTCAAACTGCTCATAAATTTTCTCTTCAGCCTTTGCCTCTAAAATTTGCTGCCGAAGTTCAAGCTCCACAGAGGTTATTCTTAGCGTTTGCTTCTCCTTTAAGAATTTTGCCTTAACCTCTAACGCTGCCGCCTTAGCCTTTGCTTCAATCAACTTTAACTTAGCGGATGATGTTGAGAAACCTGTGCGTGTATCATGCGAATCACCACGCAACTTCTTTGTCTCACCCAGATAACACTTTGCTTTAATACGAAACACAAACCTTATCACGACTGTTATACCATTGCTGAGCTAATTTTATCTCACCATCATCATCCAAGGCCCTGAGATACATATGATGTGCTTCTTGCATCTTAACAAATAGCTCATGGAACTGCACAACTTCAGTAGGCACTTGTTTTTCGTTCTCAAAATCTGCCAACAGAGGCGAAATTATGTTCATCTGCTTAGTTAAGCTAGCAAGAGCAGTTTTCCGATTTTCCTTTAACCTTTGAATCGCAAATTCCCTACCCTTTTCCATTTGTTCGCGCGTCCACGTGAATTTCCTCAGGAACTACGACACCGGTCAGCGGAGATGTTGCAGGTGGTGACCAACTCCGAGATGATTTGTTTTCCACATCCATTTTACGCCAAATGCCATCCTTTTCTTCGTCCAAAACCTTCATTTTCCTTTGTAAATCTTTCTCCTTGTCTCCTTTGTGTCCTTCAATGTGTGATTCACTCTAGGTAAAATTGTATCGGCCGTAAAATCCATTCTTTATTCCTCTAGATCAGCAAAATGCTCGACAATGTCCGCTGGTTTAAAATGCAAAATTCATGTCACCGTAACCGTTTTAACGATAGGATTTTTAAGTTATCGAGCTCTTTTATGCTAGCGCTAGAAATATGTAAAATTCAACGTAGAAAGCTTAGTTCAGCAAAGCGTAAACGCTACCAGTTCTCATTCAATCACCCGTAAACAGTTGTTATTAGTGTTAAACTGTAACAGCCATCTGTCATGTCCTTTTGTGTAG